CTATGTAACAAACCTGCACGTCTGCACATGTATCCCAGAGCTTAAAAAAAATTTTTTTTTAAATCTTAATCCCTTACAGAAAATAAAAACTGGTAACTTTTGTATTGAATTCTTCCAGTTTACACACACACACACACACACACACACACCCACCCACCCCAAAATTAGGATCACATAATATCGTGTCCTTCTTCATTTCTGCTAAATCTTATATTATGAACATCCTTGTGCACATATCTTGGTGAACTTTTCACATATATCCAGCAGGTAAATTCATAGCAGTGGAATTGCTGGGATCGGGGTAAATATATTACAAATGTTTTTAAAATTAGATAAAGGTGGCCGGGTGCAGTGGCTCATGCCTGTAAACCCAGCACTTCGGGAGGCCGAGGTGGGTGGATCATGAGGTCAGGAGATCGTGACCATCCTGGCAACATGGTGAAACCCCGTCTCTACTAAAATACAAAAAAATTAGCCGAGCATGGTAGCATGTGCCTGTAGTTTCCGGCTACTTGGGAGTCTGAGGCAGGGGAATCTCTTGAACCCGGGAGGCGGAGGTTACAGTGAGCCAAGATCACGCCACTGCACTCCAGCCTGGCGACAGAGCAAGACTGCATCTCAAAAAAAAAAAAAAAAAAGATAAAGCTAAAAAGCTGTTAATATGCATATTGATTAACAGCACTGAGAAGTCTCATTTCTCCAAATGCTTCTAAGTAATGGGGGCCCAACATTTTACTTTTCACCAACCTAATGGGTGGAAACAGTCATTTTCTTATTCTTTGGATTTTTGTCCCTTGAATCTAAATGTTTGTCACTTGTATTTCTTTTCTTGAAAACTGCCTATTAATATCCTTTGCCCTTATTCATCTTTTTACAACTGGGTCATTACTATTGTTCTATTGTTCTAGGATCTCCGCTCCTGCAACCTCCGCCTCCTGGGTTCAAGCCATTCTTCTACCTCAGCTTCCGCAGTAGCTGGGATTACAGATGCGCACCACCACACCTAATTTTTTCTATTTTTAGGAGAGACGGGGTTTCACCATGTTGGCCTGGCTGGTCTCGAACTCCTGACCTTGTGATCCACCCTCCTCGGCCTCCTAAAGTGCTGGGATTATAGCTGTGAGCCACTGTACCCGGCGCACATTAACCCTTTATGTGTAATTAATTTTGATAACACAGAAGATGTAAAAGGGACTAAGTTGCTATTTTTTATGTGTGTGATGAACTTATATCTATTGACTAATATTCCTTTTCTCCCTTAATTTGAGACACTACTTTTCCTTATATACACTGTATGCATAGGATTTGTTTCTAGGCTACATATTTTTGTTCATTATTCCTTCTATTTAGTTGCATACCAGTACCGCCCTATTTTGGTTTTTATAGTTTTACAATATTTTAATACTTGATATAATCTTTTAATATCTTTTTTTAAAGTACTTACCTAAGTCCTATGAAATTTAAAAAAATATATTCTTTGAAGTTGAAAAAGTACCTGAAATCTTGATTGTAACTGCAGTAAACCTATAAACTAGAAAGAACTGTTATCTCTAATATTTGAGGACCCTCATTCGGAAACATGGATTTTTCAAATTTTACATTTAAAATTTTTATAGTTTTTAAATAAAGTGTTCTTTCATATTTCTTATAGAGGTTATTCTTAGCTTTATTATTTCCCTGTCATTTCTGTGAATAGTCCTTTTTCACACTGTATTTTTAACTGATTTAGTGTATTTATTTTGTACATTTATTCTGTAACCAGCATGTTTTCTGAACTCTGTATTATTTTAATAGTTTTTCACATGATTTTATTGGGTATTCAAGGGAGACAGTTATCCAGCAGTCCCACTACTGGGTATCTACCCAGAGGAAAAGAAGTCATTATTTGAAAAAGATACTTGCACATGCATGTTTATAGTAGCACAATTTACAACTGCAAAATCGTGGAACCACCCAAATGCCTAACAATCAATGAGTGGATAAAGAAACTGTAAGATATACATATGATGAAATACTATACAGCCATAAAAAGGAATGAATTGGCAGCATTTGCAGTGACCTGGATGAGACTGGAGACTATTCTTCCAAGTGAAGTAACTCAGGGATGGAAAACCAAACATAGTATGTTCTCACTGATATGTGGGAGCTAAGCTATAAGGACAAAAAGGCATAAGAAAGACACAATGGACTTTGGGGACCTGGGGTGAAGTATGGGAGGGGGATGAGGGATAAAAGACTACAAACAGGGTGCAATGTATACTGCTCAGGTGATGGGTGCACAAAATCTCATGAATCACCACTAAAGAACTTACGTAACCAAATACCACCTGTACCCCCGTAACTTGTGGAAGAATAAAACAAAAAAGGAAGACAATTATATCTCAAATAATAGTCTTTTTTCCAAAGTGCATTTCATTTTCATTTCATTTCTTATGGTCTCGCACCTGTATAACAAAAGTCGTTTCGAGCGTCTGTATCGTTGTCATGTCACGTGACAGCCCTGGTTTTAATGGGAATGCCACTAGCATTTCGCTATTAAGTACTAACATTGCTAGTTAATTTTAAAAGTGTATCTTTGGCTCGTGCTGTAAGAAAGTATCTTTGATTCCTAATCTACTAATTTTTAAAAATCAGAAATGATCTTCAGTATCTATTCAAAGTCTTATATGTCAGGATCGAGCTCTACTTTGAGATAAATTTAACAAAGTGGAATTACTAATGAGAAGGGAAGAGGAAAGAACGTCTTAGCACGTAAAAGGTAGTCTGTCATTTTTGGAAACAGTGGTCACACACACGTCTAGTTGTGGCATGAACTTAACTGTACTTGTTGTGAGAACCAGGCCAGTGGAGAGAGAAAGAACAAACCACACACGATTCTTTCTCTCCCCTGGCCACTTATGGAATTCTCCTGGCTTGCCCATTTCACTTAATTCCTGAACCAGGTGAACTGCTGACAGCAGAACATGGTGGAGCGGAAGAAGACAGGGAGGGGCATTGTGTTAAACTCTGCAAGGCATTTCCCATGGTGGAAAAGGCAGGGACATTTCAGCGCTGGGGGCAGAGCAATGGCAAGAAATGCAGAGGCATCTGCTGTGAATGGCCCATTGGACTTCACTCCCAATGAATCCAGGGCCACTATTATTACTATCTTTTTACAACTGGGTCATTACTATTGTATTTTTTTTTGAGACGGAGTCTCTGTAGCCCAGGCTGGAGTGCAGTGGCACAATCTCGGCTCACTGCAACCTCTGCCTCCTGGATTCAAGCAATTCCCTGCCTCAGCCTCCCAAGTAGCGGGGATTATAGGCACCCACCACCACACCCAGTTAGTTTTTATATTTTTAGTAGAGACGAGGTTTCACCATCTTGGCCAGGCTGGTCTGGGACTCCTGACCTCGTGATCTACCCACCCACCTTGTCCTCCCAAAGTACTGGGATTACAGACATGAGTAAGCCACTATGCCCGGCCAATATTGTTCTGTATTATCTATCACTTACCCTCCTGGGTAGCTTTGTGTACCGAACATAATCCTCCAGGAACAGAAGGGCACCCACAACATCTGCAGGTATTTCAGGTATCTTCTGGCTGTAACAGAGAAATCAATTAACTGCTTTGCACATAATAAGCCCTTGGTCAGAATACTGAAAGACTAAATTACCAACAGATTATCTAATGAAGTCAAAGATGAACAAAAACATTAAGCATGCTGTTGATTCCCATCAAGTCATTAACCTTGCTCACATATTTTCAGGAGCTTACCCTATAGGGTAAATGTGAGCTTCTCTATATGGTTTACGTGGGCCTTTACAACACGGTCCCTGCTATCTGCCCAGACTCATCTCCCTCTGTTTACATGATTCAACACCTAGCAGGTCCCATAGTTTCCCATCCCTGCACACTGATTTGAAAGTAAATTTCTAGACATTGTTCGAGTCCCAGGTTGGGGACTTCTTCTCCTGTGGGATCCTCCCTGATTCTCTGGGGCTCTCATAATACTTAGTAGCATTCTCCAAGCCTCTGAATTTTTCAATTGTGTGCTGGCTTCCCGACAAGAGTATCAACTCCTCAAGGGCCTGGGTCATGTGTCCATCTTCGTATCTCCAGCATCTGGAATTGTGCCTGGCATGTCCTGCTTATTTCAGGGTATCAAATAAATATAGCATCTAGCAATTTTTCATATGGGATTTTACTCATGTATTTATTCATTCAGCAACTACAGTCCCAAGGACTATCCCAGAACTGGGAACACAAGCAAAGTACATGCCAGTCTCTTTATAGAGCTAATGTTCCCTGTTGTTTACATCAAAATGAGTTTTTAGGTGTTAAAACTATTTCCAACTTCTGTACCAATTGGCATTTTCTAATGAAAAAATAATTTTTGGTACTATTAACAGATTACTGGTTAATTTTGCTGATGAATTGTTGCCTTTGGAAGGGTTAAGAGTGATGCACCTAGAAAAGTTCTCCCTGCTCTCAGTCTTTCCGTCTGTGACCAGGGCTGTATTTGCTCTGCTTGGAGCAAGAGAAAGGACAGAGGCCCCGTGCAGCGCAGGTTCCTTGGGTTACTTAGCTCTGCAGATTCAAAGGCCTGAGCCACAGCTGGTATCCTGTAGCCTGATCACCACCCTCAGGGTTGCCAGTAACATACTGAGTCACACTTAAGCCTTTACTGCCATTAGTGAAGAAGAAAGAGCAGGGAGCTATGACTGGGATAGCCAGTTGTGTGGAGGTTACTTGCTAATCATCCCCACACCACCTGACCCTAGGTCCTTCGCCTCCTCTCTGATCCTGAGCCAGATGCGCTAGGTTTTTATGAGCCTACTGCTTTCCTTGTCAACTGACCTCACTTTGTGATTGTTACAATTTCATTTTTGAGATTTTATCTTTGAATTCTCTTCTATTTTTCAATTGTTAATAACTATGGTTTTGAAGCAAGTCTAAACATATGTCCCAGGAAAACACCAGTGTTTGTTGTTCAGTTCATTAACTAAGATAAGGAGAAACTGGACTGACGGCAGCTCATGGGAGGAAGCAATACTGGAATTTAGAAAGAATACAAAATCAGTATGAGCCACTGGTGTGCACTGGATGTCAAGAACCCACCACTGCAGAGCCGAGATCTGCACTGCACTCCATCCTGGGTGACACAGCCAGACTCTTTCTCAAACAACAACAACGAAAAACCCACCATTGCAATTACAGCTGCTCTACTGTCTACAGAGGGCCCAGAATGAAGAAATGTAATACCACTCTGCGCCTAGGGGAGGGCTGTGCTTGGAATCTCACTACAAGTTTGGGAAGCCACATTTTAAGATTGTCAGTAACAGACTGGAACACCCAGAAGAAGTCACTCGCTATGGTGAGTAACCTCTAAACTGCAACACATCAGGAAGAGGTGGAAGGGGCTTATCTAAACAAGGAGAAGACCTAAGACAGATGGCATACCAAATTGGAAGTAATGCTGCAAAGGAAGTAGACTGCATTTATTCTGTATTATTTCAAAGGGTGGAGAAAAGCTCAGTGAGTAAAATATCCAGAGACGTAGGCTCTAATAATCACAATCAGGAACTTTCTAATGAGAACTACACTTAGCCAGTGGACTGTGTGGCCTGAAGAGGTAGCAAGAGCCCCATCGGCGAGTGTTCCGGCAGCAGCTGGATGATGGCATGTCAAGGATGTCTTAGAGCTCACTCACGCACTTAGTGGGAGGTCAATTAAATGACCTCAAAAGTCATTTCCAGTTCTAGGAGTCAGTAATATTTTGTGTGGACTTAGAAGATCACTTTTATTCATTTTTTTTTTTTTGAGGTGGAGTCTCACTCTGTTGCCCAGGCTGGAGTGCAGTGGTGCAATCTCGGCTCACTGCACCCTCAGAGGCCTTCCAGGTTCAAGCAATTCTCCTGCCTCAGCCTCCCGAGTAGCTGAGATTACAGGTGCCCACCACCACACCCGTCTAACTTTTGTGGGGTTTTTTTTCAGTAGAGACGGGGTTTCACCATGTTGGTCAGGCTGGTCTTGAACTCCTAACCTCAAGTAATCTGCCCACCTTGGCCTCCCAAAGTGCTGGGATTACAGGCTTGAGCCACTGTGCCCAGCTACTTTAATTACTTTTTTAAGTTATAGTGGCAAAAATGACCAAGTGGACATGACAGAAAAGGTTATTTAGCCAGGCTGACCCTTTAGGATAGCAGAGAAGGAGGCTCAGGACCCAGCATGTCATGGAAATAACTTTTTTTTCTTTATCCCAGAAAAGCCACATTTAGGGGCAGGGAGAAAGAACTGGCAGGAATTAAAGCTTTATAAGTACTGTATCAAATAGCAACTCCCGTGAAATTTGCTTCTTTACAGGCAGACACTGCCCAGGTTTTGACACTGACATGTTCTCTGACTCCCAGTGAAGTGAGTGGAATCATCATCTCCTGGCAGTGGCCCAGCAGGAGTTCAGGGTCTCACTGAGATCGAAGAGCTGGATCCAAGAGTGCAGAGGAACAGGGCTACAGTTTCTTCCCCATGGCAGTTACTAATCATAGTCCTGAGTCACTCCTGGAAAATCACTGTGAGTATACCTAATGGAGTTCCCCTGGCAAGGTGACTAAGGATGGGCACAGTCATAATTGCTCTAAACAAGGAGATACGCCCTGACTTGCTTTACAGAGAAGGGTGAGCAACCATTTCCCAGCTCTATGAAGGCAAGAAGAGGAGGAATTTGGCAATGCGAGGTTTAAGTTAGGCTTTGTGACATGAAGTCCTCTGTAGTCACGGTCGGTCTTCTGTACCTTGTACACTGCTCCACCGTGGAGCAGATGAACTGACCGATCAGCGCCAGGAACTGCTCGGTGTACCGGGAATGGAACTGCTTCAGCAGAGTGAGCAGTCCCAGGACAAGCGGTGGCCAGTCGACTGGGTCGGTTGGTTTTCGGCAGACCATCCCTGCAAGGGAATAAATTGCAACAGCACATGAATATTAATTATTAACATATTAAATGTTAACACTGTGAAGGTCAAAATGTTTGGGGCCCATATCCTCACTGGCAGATGATTTTTTGGAAGGAATGACAACTCTGGGCCATATTTTGAATTAGCCACAGGACTGGTGGGGCATTCCAGTGGTCTGAAGGATTCAAAACCAATAAAACAGTTACTAAATTTTGTAATTATCATTACTGGTTCTTTTGAATTATTCAATTAACATATATTATTGTAGCGAATTTTAAAGATATAGATAAATGCAAATGAGAAAAAAAAATCGCTATAACTGACTTCTGTTAACAGCACCATGACATAATAGATACCCTGGACTACTACCTTAAGTGAAAAGCTGGATAAAATATTTTTAGAGTATCTTTAAACAAATGTTGAGTATTTTATATATTATATATATTATATATAAAATATATATAATATAATGTATATATTATATATAATATAAATATGTATATTTATATATATTTATATTTATAATATATATTTCAAATTATTTAACATATATTTATATATTATAAATATATATTTGTTTATATTATATATACTATATATTAATATATTTATATTATATATAATATATATTATTTACATAAATATATAATATATATTATTTATATTATATATTTATATATATTACATTATTTATATATATATAAAAGAATCTGCAGAAGTCAAGACAGTGGAAGAAGGACATTTACAAAGTGAATGAGTATCAAAGCTAACCTTTACACTAAAGAATTTTTTTTTAAATTGGAGATGGGATCTTGCTATGTTGCCCAGGCTGGAATGCAGTGGCTATTCACAGGTACAATCATAGCACAATATAGCCTTGAATTCCTGGGCTCAAACAATGCTACTGCCTCTCAAACAATGCTACTGCCTCAGCTTCCCGAGTAGATGGGACTATAGGTGTGTACCACTGCACCTGGCTCTACACTAAAGATTTTTGCTAAAATGTGGCAACCCTGAAGTCTGCCTGGATGGCTGCATGGGAAACCACACAATGTTGAAAAAGAATAACGTCAGAAGACTTAGGTTGCTTGATTTCAAGCTCTCTATACAGTTTCAATAATCAAGACACTATGGTATAAGAATAGACAAATAGATCCGTGGAACAAAATAGAGAGTCTAGAGACAGTCCCACCCTCATATGAGTAACTGAATAGCCATAAATATACAAAATAATTTTTAAAAAGATAAATCTTTCAATAAATGGCACTGAAACTGGATAGCCTTATAGGGGAACAATAAACCTGGACCCCTACCTCACAGTGTACACAAAGAACAATTAGAGATGGACCACTGGCCTCAATGTAAAAGCAAAGTCTACAGAATTTTTAGAAAAAATATCGAAGATATCTTGTGACCTTGGAGAAGACAGAGATTTCTCTTTTTTTTTTCAGACGGAGTCTCACTATGTCGCCTAGGCTGGAGTGCAATGGTGCGATCTTGGCTCACTGCAACCTCTGTTTTCCAGGTTCTAGTGATTCTCCTGCCTCAGCCTCCCGAGTAGCTGGCATTACAGGCACATGCCACCATGCCCAGCTAATTTTTGTATTTTTAGTAGAGACAGGGTTTCACCATGTTGACCAGGCTGGTCTCAAACTCCTGACCTCAGGTGATGCTCTCATCTCAGCCTCCCAAAGTGCTGGGATTACAGGCATGAGCCACTGTACCCAGCCTGGGAGATATTTCTTAGACAAGATCAAGAGGAATAATTATAAAGGAAAAAAATGGACAAATTGGACACTGTCAACAGTAAAAACTTCTGCTCATTAAAGTTACCAGTAAAAAAATAAATAAATAAATAGATAAGCCACAATTTGAGAGAAAATATTCTCAAAACATATATCTAACAAAGAACTTGTATCCATAATATATACATAACTCCTACAACTCCGTAATGAGAGGGTAAACAATTTAGAAGCGAGCAAGACTGAAACAGGCACTTTGCAGAGAATATAAGGAATGGCCAATAAGTACATGAAAAAGTACTCAAATGATTAATCGTCAGAAAAAGGCAAATTAAAGCTGCAACAAGATATCATACATACCCATCAGGATGGCTAAAATGGGCTGGGTGCAGTGGCTCATGCCTGTAATCTTAGCTCTTTGGGAGGCTGACGCGGGTGGAACACTTGAGGCCAAGAGCTCGAGACCAGCCTGGCCAACATGATGAAACCCGTCTCTAATGAAAATGCAAAAGTTAGCTGGGCATGGTGATGCACGCCTGTAGCCTGTAATTCCAGCTACTCAGGTGGCTGAGGCAGAACTGCTTGAACCTGGGAGGTGGAGGCAGCAGTGAGCTGAGATTGCACCACTGCATTCAAGCCTGGGTGACAGAGTGAGACTACGTCTCAAAAAAAAAAAAAAAATAGCTAAAATGAAAGTGACTGATGCCACCAAATAATAGTGAGGATGTGGAGTATACATATACTCACTCTTGGTGAGAGTGTAACTGGCACAACCACTTTGGACAAAGGGTTGGCAGTTTCTTATCAAGTAAACTGGTTAGACAGACCCTCAGATCCCATATTTGGGTTCTTGTGAAGACTGGGAAATCTCTTCCCCAAACCAGAGAAGCTTAAACAGGTGATCCTGAATTACCTAACGCGGGCCTTGGCAATTCAGAACATGGAGGAATAATCCTAACAGGACTCAGTATGGAAAAAGAATCCTTGGGCGGGCGCGGTGGTTCATTCCTGTAACCCCAGCACTTTGGGAGGCCAAGACAGGTGGATCATGAGGTCAAGAGATGTAGACCATCCTGGTCAACATGGTGAAACCCCGTTTCTACTAAAAAAATACAAAAATTAGCTGGGTGTGGTGACGTGCGCCTGTAATCCCAGCTACTTGGGAGGCTGAGGCAGGAGAACAGCTTGAACCCAGGAGGCAGAGGTTGCAAAGAGCTGAGATCATGCCATTGCACTCCAGCTGGCAACAGAGTGAGACTCCCTCATAAAAAAAAAAAAGAATCCTTTCCAGGTGGAAAGCAAAAGTGATGTTAACAACAAACACCAGGCCCAGTATGCATTTCTTAGGTCAGTCTTGAGAACAGTGTTTATAAGGTTAAATACATGTTTTTAGGATATACAGTTTCAAGGCTCTCTTTATAGTTTCGATAATCAAGACACTACTGGCATAAGGAAAGATAAATAGATCAATGGAACAGAATAGAGAGCCTAGAGGTAGTCCCACTGAATATGAGCAACTGAATATCCACAAAGATACAAAACAATTGTTCCTTCCTTGGGCCTACTGTAATTTAGTTCCTACATTAACACACCAGTCTTATTGATGAGAAGAATTAGTCAGTTATAGATACTACATTTCTAGGATACATAAAGGTTTCGTTGTGTTATGTTTTGTTTTAAGATCTGGGAATGCCATGGAGAGTGCTACTTTCCATAAGCAGCTTTACAATCAAGGTGCCAGACATAGGCCTTGGCAATCCAGAACATGGAGGAATAATCCTAACAGGACTCTGTATAGAAAAATAATCCTTCCTAGGTAGAAAGCAATGAATCATATACACAATGAAAAAAAAATATTATCTTAGAATGAGAATAGTTAATGAAGAGTTATTCTATAATGAAAAGAAGATTCTTTCTGTACTGACAATTCTTCATTATCAAGAATCATATATTCCTATTGAATATTAACATAAAGAGAACAGGGAGAGAACATGAATCTCCGAATCTTGCGATGAACCTTTACATTATGCTTGGGAGGGTCCTTTAAATTTATTTTAACCAATATTTAGAAAGGGACTCAATACCTGTTGGGCACTCAGTTTGCAGGTAACTTGGCCAAAGTAACATAGGTGATAAGTGGTGGGGCCAGAATCCAAACACATATTTGTTCCCTCCCTCCTACAGCAAGTATTTATTGAGGACATCATTCCCTACCTTCTGTGACAATCACAGGCATTGTCATGGAAGCAGTGTCTAGAATCAATGACTACTTTTGAATGAGAGAATAAAAACATTAAGAGATTCCACATTTTCACCCTGAAAAAGCTTATGAAATAGGAAAGTACTATAAGGAAGAAACATAGTTAGGAATCTCTAGTGAAGAAAAAAATAACAATTACATTTGTAGAAATGTTCTTATAATGTTTTTAAAGTAAAGTCTATAGTGGATTTTTAAAAAATTCATTCAGTTAGATACAAAGTTTGAAGGCAGAGGAAACACTTGCATACCTATTATGTAACTACAAAAATATTCTGACCAATGACAAAAATAAATTAGGGTTATATTCCTGGAGAATGAAAGCCTTTGGTGTCTCTTGTTTGTACTGAATATTTTGACATATAATCATACATAAAATATTAGATGTTCATATATTCATATTAGTCTCATGTCCTTAATGATATTGTTACTTTTCCCATCATGGTTCCAGCTGCCACATGCATCTAAGAACAGAACATCAACCAAAAGAAGTTTCCTTCATACCATCATTAGCTACCTAAACATTAAAGAAGAGAATCAAAACAAAGGTCCCTCACATTCTTTAACCTGGACAATGAACCCTTACCAAGGTGTACCATATTTTAAACCCTTATCATGGTGGCTTATGCCTGTAATCCCAGCCCTTTAGGAGGCCGAGGCAGGTGGATTGTATGAACCCAGGAGTTTGAAACCAGTCTGGGCAATATGGCAAAACCCCGCCTTTACAAAAAATATAAAAAACTAGCTGGACATGGTGGTGTGCGCCTATAGTTCCAGGTACTCAGGAGGCTGACATGGGAGGATTCTTGAGCATGAGAGATCGAGGCCATAGTGAGCTGAGACTGTACCACTGCCCTCCCATCTGAGTGACTAAATGAGATCTGGTCCAAAAAATAAATAAAACAAAATAAATAAGTATAATTAAGACACTGTCTTTTTTTTTTTTTTTTAAACACCTAGAAGAGGGCTGCAGCACAAAGTAGCTATTTAATGCCCTACCATCCTATTCATTCTTTTTTTTTTTCTTTTAGAAGAAGAAAGAGAGAAAGAAAGAAAGAGAAAGAAAAAAAAAGAATGAAGGAGAGGAAGAAAGAGGATTTTTTTTTCCAACAATAATGTCTTCATTGACATAGCAGAGTGGGTATATTGTGTTCAGCAAAGCTTTTCAATAAATAGAAACATGCTGCTAAAAGAATAGCCCTCCACCACAAAAAAACTACTAATTTAACAATACAAAAACCAATGCAACAATTAGTTCTGTAATGCCCACAGAAAACAGTGAAATAGCTTCTCCATGAGCCTTGCAAATCACAACCATAGCAACTTAAGATGTGCAGTCCCATATGGGTTGACTGCTTCTCAGAATGAGGCCAGGAACTAAGGAAAGTCTCCAAGAAATATGGGATTATGTGAAAAGACCTAATCTACGTTTGATAGGTGTACCTGAATGTGACAAAGAGAATAAATCCAAGCTGGAAAATATGCTTCAGGATATTATTCAGGAAAACTTTCCCAATCTAGCAAGGCAGGACAATATTCAACTCCATGTAATACACAGAACACCACAAAGATATTCCTCAAGAAGACCAACCTCAAGGCACATAATCGTCAGATTCACCAGGGTTGAAATGAAGGAGAAAATACTGAGGGCAGCCAGAGAGAAAGGTCACGTTACCCATAAAGGGAAGCCCATCAGACTCACAGCAGATCTCTCAGCAGAAACCCTACAAGCCAGAAGAGAGTGGGGGCCAATATTCAACATCCTTAAAGAAAAGAACTTTCAACTCAGAATTTTACATCCAGCCAAACTAAGCTTCATAAGCGAAGGAAAAATAAAATCTTTTGTGAACAAGCAAGCAGTCAGAGATTTCATCACCACCAGGCCTGCTTTACAAGAGCTTCTGAAAGAACCACTACAAATAGAAAGAAACAACCAGTATCAGCCTTTCTAAAAAATACCAAAAAGTAAACAGCGTCAACATAATCAAGAATTTACATCAACTTATAGGCAAAACAGCCAGCTAACATTAAATGGCAGTATTAAACTCACATATATTTTTATTAATTCTAAATTTAAATCGACTAAATCCCCCAATCCAAAGACACAGACAGGCAAAAAAAGCCAAAACCCATCGGTATGCTGCATCCAGACCCATCTCACCTGCAAGGATATGCAGACTCAAAACAAAGGGATGGAGAAAGATTTACCAACCAAATAGAGAGCAAAAATAAATAAATAAATAAAAAGCGGGAGTTGCTTTAAAGCAACAAAGATCAAAAGAAGTAAAGAAGGATATTACATAATGATAAAAGGATCAATGCAACAAGAGCTAAAGATCCTAAATATATATGCACCCAATACAGGAATACCGAGATATATAAGACTTATAAAGAAACTTAGACTCCCACGCAATAATAGCGGGGGACTTCAACATCAATATTAGACAGATCAATGAGACAGAAAATTAACAACGATATGCAGGATTCGAACTCAGATCCGGAACAAGTAAATTTAATTAACATTTATAGAACTCTCCACTTTAAATACACAAAATATCCACTCTTATCAGTACCACATCACATCTATTTACAGGTTTAAATGAAATATTGGTTGGCTGCTTGTTTGCTATTTTCTTCCCTCATTTTTTTTTTTTCATGTCTCTATTATTAAGCACAATTATAGGCATACCCATTTTTAGACTGCATTCTAGCCCAGGCAATAAAGCAACACCCCCATTCTCTCTCCCTCTTCCTCTTTCTTCCTCTCCTTCATTCTTTTTTTTTTTTATTATTCTTTTTTTTTCTTTCTTTCTTTAAAAAAAAAAAAGAAACCAAGGTCTGAATCAACAAGCCAAGCTTTTAACTTTAGACACTGTGCTACTACATGCCCCTTTCCTAGGATAATTACAGAGTAGAAAGAACAAACAGATAGGCCTATCCTTTCACTGGCATTAAATGGGGGAATGTTTCAGTTATAAATGTTTATTATTATTATTACTGAGACAGAGTCTTGCTTTGTTGCCCAGGCTGGAGTGCAATAATGTGATCTCGGCTCAGTGCAAACTCTGCCTTCTGGGCTCAAGCAATTCTCCTGCCTCAGCCTCCTGAGTAGCTGGGATTATAGGTGCCTAAAAAAAAAAAAAATAGGTATAATTAAAAAAAATAAATCTAGTCGGGTGTGGCTGCTTACAGCTGTAATGCCAGCACTTTGGGAGGTTGAGGTGGGCAGATCACCTGAGGTCAGGAGCTTAAGACCAGCCTGGTCAACATGGTGCAACGCTGTCTCTACTAAAAATACAAAAAAATTAGCCAGGTGTGGTAGTGTGCACCTGTAATCCCAGCTACTTAGGAGGCTGAAGAAGGAGAATCGCTCGAACCTGGGAGGCAGAGGCCGAGGCCGCACCACTGCACTCCAACCTGGGCAACAAGAGCAAAACTCCATCTCAAAAATAAATAAATAAATAAATAAATAAATAATAAATCCACTGTCTACAGTTCATAAAAGGGCATCATATTTCAGAAGCACAAAGACTTGAATTTCATAAACACAAATTTAAGAAAAGATCTCATATCTGACATAGGCATTCTATACAAAAACCTATTTAGTTAGTTGTAAATCTGCTGGTAGTGTTACTCACTGCAAAGAATAAATGTCATACCTACCTAAATTTTTGGTGTACTGAAGTTTTGGCAACTGAGCGATCAAAAATAGGAAGTTGACAATTGGAAAATAGGGCAAGCGCTTTGTTGTTATGTATATCTGAAAGAGAAAGGTAAGAAAAATGTATGGTTAATTCATACTGCACAGTACCACAGAATAGGTTTCCAAGTGAAAAGCTTCAATTTTACTTCAATTTGCTCTTCGGCCTTCCTGAAACATGGATGGTTCCATTTATTTGCTGCCTTCAGAGTTTTATTTAACACACCTGGCCCTGCCCACCTAAATACCAGTATCACAATTTGCCAAAACCAATTTTGCTCTGAGTGACATTCCCCCTGAATCCTGTTAATGTCATTAATAAAGAGAGGGGGGAATGAGTGATGAGAAAGAATAGGAGGGGAAGGCAAAATGAAGAGCAGTGGAGGCAGAGCTGGAGGGGAATTCAAAGGGAGTGCCGGAGGAGGAAGAAGAGGGATAGATGGAAAGAAGGAAGAAGGCGAGGAGGAGGAGGAAGAGTGAAGGGAAAAGATCTGTGTAGCAGTGAGTGGTGGTATCTAAGTAGAAAGACAGCAAAGTTCTTCTCTGTCATTTGCTGTTCCCTGGGCAATGTCACTGAGCAGTCTCTCTTCCAGATATCACAGCAGAAACTATAGTCAGGGAGTACACAGACAGCTCCAGACTCCCAGCTGGCTGATTCCACAGGAGACAGGGTAGCACATGGGTCAGGAGCACAGGCTCTGGTCAGACTGCCTCGCTCCTCCACTTGCTAGTTACCTTCTGATCCTCAGGTTCCTCACCTCATAATGGCATCTTTCATAGGGGTTGTTGTGAGATTAAGTGAGATAATCCATGATGAGGGTTAAGAGAGTACACTTGTTACATAGTAAATATTTAAGACATTAGCTACTATTCAGGTTTATAAGGTTCTTCTTCTTTTTTTTTTTTTTTTTTTTTGAGGTGGAGACTTGCACTGCCGCTGCCTGGGCTGGAGTGCAATGGCGTGATCTCAGCTCACTGCAAACTCTGCCCTCCGGGTTCAATGTGATTCTCCAGCCTCAGCCTCCAGAATTTCAAATTTTTACAGATTTTAGAAAGATAATATAGGGGATACGGTGGTGCACTATAATCAAAGTCACTATAATCAAAGTCTGCATTAAAACATTGAATGTTTCTAGAAAGGAAGATAAATAGTATAAACAGCCTTATGTCAGCTCAGGACAGATTTTGCCACCCAAAGAGATCTGGCACCGAGTTATGAAAAACTTTCAGTTCTTAGAGGTTTTCTGAGCTCAGAACTGCAGGAAAGAGTTTGTAGCTCCTATGATAACTGGGATTAGTGGCAGCCCCAAGGGGAAGCACCTCTGGGCAAGACACATCATTGCTACCATTTTGGGTTTGCTGTGTCTTGATGACTGAACTGCAAACCCCAGTGAAACCCAAAACTAATCTCTTACACTGATGCAGCACTTTTCGCTTTGTCAGGAGCTTTCACTAGCGCTATAGCACTTGATTCTCACAGACCTGAGCCAGGCGGGGAAAGTGTGATGACTGCTTAGAAAGGGCAGGGAACTGAATGGAATGAAGGCTCTGGGGTCTGAACCCAGGTTCTCCTGGTATCTCTGCACAGTGATCTGTCACCTGGGCTAAATCCCCTTTGTACCATTCTGTTCCCCTACCCCCACCATTATATATTTCAATTATTCACCTTATTCAGTGGGTTGTGAATGCCAGCTGCCTCCAGATAGGCTGTGATTTCATATAAAAGTGTGTTGTCTTCTTTGGGATAAGGAAGCGAAGGGTCCTGATAGTGGGCTTCAATGTCTGCTAGGAGAGCCCTAAATGAAGAAAAACCCCAGAGATAAACATTAGTGATTAAATAAATTTATGTAAGAGTTAATTCAGGCCAGTGATGTAATCTTTTCAAGCATCAGTTTCCTTATCTGTAAAATGAGAGCTTGATCCCCTCAATTCTCAATCCATGCCTGTGATTAGTTTGAAGTAGAAAATTTGACGTAGAATTACTTTATCTTTTGGAATCAACCTCAATTAAATGCATTCACCATTCAAATTTTCATGAATTGACTGAACTGTTCTTAATACCTGCTTTGTCAAAAGCACTGACTTAGTGAGTGAGAAGCAGGGATTATTTATCTGTTAAGTAGACAGCCTCAAATGACAGCAGGTTGCTGGTGAGGCGGAGGATCTGAGTTCCCTCTGGGACAGGACTCCATAACCACTCGTGGTAATCAACATACTTCCAACTGCCCTCTGGATGATGAGTGATCAGCCCTGTAGAAAGCCAGTTGTAGATTTTGGTATTAATTGCTTTCTAAAATCTGTGCAAGTATCTAGCAGTGTCTGATGTGTCTCTCACTCACTCTCTCTAATGGATTCATTTATTCAGCTGACATGTATTGAATCATGTGATTAGTAAATGTCAGCTGAATAAATGAATCCATTAGAGAAAGTGAGTGAGATACAGAGATACACAGGGGGAAAATAATGAGGAAAGAGGCTCCTGAAGACAGATTTGATTATCCATTGGCAAGCAAGCCTATAAATTCAGACCTCTCACCTAAAAGTAACTTAAAAGAGTAAGAACTGTGCTTAGATGATGAACAATCCAAGCCCACAGATGGCTGTTTCAAACGCTGGCACTTACTTATTGAGATTCTCCAGAGCAGCTGCCAGATGTTTAGAGTCAAACCGACAAGAATAATTCAATTCATTGGCAATCTGTTGTCTCAGAATCTGCATCTGCCCAACCTGTGCACAAGCAAGAGAAAGAACAGGTAGTATATTCAAGCATTTCAGAGTGACAGTGAGGAGGTAAACACAAAGATGGCAATTCTTCTGTGGGCCTTCACAACATTCTACAGAAGAAAAAAATAAGGATTTCCTGGACTGATCTCTTGGCTAAGACTAGCACTGGACTTGATGGAGCACCAGAGGCCCTTCAAGGAATGTTTGGATGGACTCCCATACACCAACCTTAAAATACCCCTAAAGTCTATGATTAACAAAGTGATCTATTAATGTTCAGTTGTTCATGTATCAAAGGTGTATTCTTTAAAGCTATATTTTTGACTTTTTGGAATAAGTGCTCCACGTTTAGTAGCTGCTGTAAGAAACCTTACTTCCTTTTCTTTACCCTAAATGGAACTTTCTCAAGTCCTAAGAATACCACTAGACCTCAGTATTCTCAAGCTGGGTGAATATTAAGTCTGTCCATGCCGCTCAGGATTATAGGTTATATAATTACCTGGATTACAAAATAATCTACATATAATCTTTCATGAAAATTTTAACAATGATAGCCCCTTAATCCAGGGGTTCTTAAACTTTATATCTGATATGGTTTGGCTATGTCCCCACCCAAATCTCATCTTGAATTGTAGTTCCTATAATCCCTGTGTTGTGGGAGGGATCCAGTGGGAGGTAACTGAATCATGGGGGCAGTTATCTCCATACTGTTCTCATGATAGTGAGTTCTCAGGAGATCTGATGGTTTTATAAGGTGCTTTTCTCCTTTTGCTCATATTTCTCTTTCCTGCTGCCATGTGATGGAGGACATGTTTGCTTCCCCTTCCACGATGGCTGTTAAGTTTCCTGAGGCCTCCGCAGCCATGCTGAACTGTGAGTCAATTAAACCTCTTTCCTTAATAAATTACTCAGTCTTGAGTCTGTCTTTATTATGTGAGAACTGACTAATATAGCCTTGGGCCCCTTTGGGAATCTGGTGAAGCCTATGGATACCATTTCAGAATAATGCTTTTGAACGTACAAAATAAAACATAGAGGGTAACAGTGGAAGCCAATTGTAATAAAATATAATTAACCATTCAAAAAACAAATCTGTGATATAGAGTTATGCTAACATGGTGGATTAACTACGGTAATTTAAAAGTAGCTATGAGCATAAATGATATTTGGAGATTATCTACAATGGTTGGATGACAGGAAGTGATCTTCGGGTCAGGCTGGAGAGAGTTCAGTTTGACCCCATAATGTTGTCTACATCATAAAGTCAATAGCAAACTCTAACTTTTTCTGCCTATAAATGTCTTATTTTCTACTCTAGACTAGGTATTCCTGAAAGACTGGCAAAGGGGAGTGAGGGAGTAGGGGAGAGGAGGGAAGCCAGTATTATCATGCAAGCACAATATGGTGGAAATAAACATATTTCCTCTGAGTTGCTGGGGGCAGAGAAGAGTTAAGGAAAACACAGTGGCTAACGCCTGTAATCCCAGCACTTTGGGAAGCTGAGGCAGGCTGATCACCTGAGGCCAGGAGTTTGAGACCAAGCCTGGCCTAAATGGTGAAACCCCGTCTCTACTAAAATTATAAAAATTAGCTGGGTGTGGTGGTGGGTGCCTGTAATCCCAGGTACTCGGGATTGCTTGAACCCAGGAGGTAGAGGTTCCAGTGAGCCAAGATTGTGCCACTGCACTCCAGCCCGGGTGACAGAGCAAGACTGTTTCAAAAAAAAAAAAAAAAAAGAAAGAAAGAAAGAAAAAAAGAGAGTGGCCTTCTCTAAGAGTGAACAAAAGTTATTTAGCTGAATGGAGCTTGTAATGGTCAAAAGTGTTAAATGACCTCAGATGTATTATTTTTCAGCGCTATTCATACATTTTATTCTACTTATGTGAAAAACATCAATCCAAAAATGCTATTTATAAGTAAGAAGTCTTTAAATTTATAGAGTAGCATTATTTAAAAATTAGAATGCAGCAAAGCCAAGAAAATAGTAGGTTCTTTCAGGCCATGTAAAAATGACCCAGAAACCCTGTATCTGGCCCATATAATTCTTTGCTTAATTTTCTATGTCTAGTATACTCTATGTCAAGGATCCTCTTGAAAATATCAATCTAGAACTGGAAATAGAAATAAAGTCAGTTTAATATAACTTGCTCTCGTTTAATGCACGATCAGTCTTTGTGAGTGACATTTTCCATTTCTGGTACTCACAAACCTCAAGCTTTAATAAGCTGCTGGAGAAGCTAATGAGCCTGGGATGGACGAGAAACTTATTTTACCTACTCATTTGCCTCTTTGAAGATATCTGGCTTACCATTCTTTCTCCAAGACTTTCCTAGAGTTACACTGTTGAGGATAGCAGCTACTAGTCACATGTGACTATTTACATTTAAATTAATTAATATGAAATAAAATTAAAAATTGTGTTTCCCAGTCCCACAACCCACATTTCATGAGCTCAACAGCTAGACAGGGCTAGGAGCTGCTTCATCATGAAATGGCACAGAACATTTCCATTGTCGTTCCTGATCATTAACACTGGCTCAGTGACTGCAGGCACCCTAATTCAAGATAAAAATACAAATTTGTCCTTGGGGCCTATATTTAAAGATCACTGACTCAGACACAGTCACGTGGCTGTTACTAACAACTGGCAACTATAACCAGTAAGAGTCTGTAACAGCTACTGGACTGAGAGAACCCTCTGGTGGACAAGCGGAAAATCTTCCAGTTTCTTGGAAGAATCCCTGTAATTCCCCTAATGTCTCCTATAGAGTTGGGACTCACAACTGTCCAAACTTGGGTGATTTTTTATTCCTCCTAAAAGGTTTTCCAGCAATTAGAAACTTGGCCTGGGATGTGCTCAGTATCTGACAATCATGAGGCGAGGGGAAGGCAGACTCACAACACCAGAGGACATCTAGCAGAGCCACGGGTGCCTTGCCTTACCTGTTCTATTAGTGACCCAAACAACAACAACAACAACAACAAAAACTATTCACCAAAATTACGGGAAATATATTGTGAATGCGGCTGAGCTATCAATGAGTGCTGTCTCAATGAAACTTATATAACTGGGAATCAGAGAATGGAACTTTTCAAAATTCCCTTAGCATTCTGGAATTGTAGACATTTCTACAGTATGTGATACTTTTAACTGCAAATCAGTTTTCCACCTGGAAGTCTACTCTTTTCTACTAGACTGTGAGTTGCTTTCTGAGGAGACCAGTTGTGTTTCATTTAACTCTGTCTCTCACAGCAACTGACAATGCCCTGGGTTTAATGGATGTGTGAGAATGGGCTGCTGACGATCTCAGATTATCAGATGGTGAGAGAAGACTCACAGAAGATGCAGGGGTCCCTGGGAGCTCCTGCCACTCAGTAAAGGCAAGAAAGTAGGTGGCTGGATTCTAAAATAAGTCAGATTTCCACCCAGCAAATTAATCTCTTCATTTGTGTTTCTTATTCATTTCCAAAGTAAGAGTGCTTTATGCATAGTATAAGGATAATTTATGCCCCAAAGAACCTGGCTTCCTAACAACCATGCAGACACAAGACGGGAGAGAGACAATGTTCTGTTCTAACAGCAGCTTCGAGCAGATGAGGTCTGTATAAATGAACTTGTTATATAAGGAGGGAGTATTACTGTGTAAGGAAAAGTTCCATTTTCATATATAAAAGCACCTCTAGCCAAAAGGTATTTTACAATGCCAGTTTTCTTGAACAAAAGGAAAATGCTAGGCTTCTAAAAAGCCTAGTCAAGAACAGCTCCAGAAGGGACATAAACAAAATGAATTTTAAAATAATGATAAACTGAAGTATGAAACTATTTTTATTTAATGACAAAAGAAAGAAGAGTAGCTTTCTTTGGGCAACAAAGTTACAAGAAATTGAAAAACTACAAAATGTAAGTATTGACTGTCACCCTCTCTCCCACAACATACCTTCATTATAGCTTCAAGGTACGCAGTCCAAATCTTCTGTGTTTTGGCAATAGCAGAAAAATAAATTTTATTTGAATTTGCTGAAAGGTGAAAACATAATTTTCTCTTTAGTATATTCAAAAAGGCTACAATGTCATCCTCACCTCAGGCTAGTTTTTAGGAGACTCACCTACAATACTTTTTAGGGGGCTGACAGCATTCATGAGGGTTTTTAAAGTGTCCTGAACAGTTCTGTCTCTCAGGATAATTTTCTGGAACATACTGAGGAAATTCTAAAAACAAAAACTCATGGTCAAAGAACAAAACATAATGAATTAAACAAACAAATACTCCAGTTACCTAAAACGCTATGCGGAACAGAGACTGGGCCTAAGTCACATAAAACCTTTAAACAGGATGACAGCAAAAAGAAGCAACTTCAGGTTCCTGTTAGAAACATCCCTTGCTAGGAAAAGTCACTGGTTTCAAAGATTAAAAAATCTTATCTTCCCAAGTTGAAACTCACAGAAACAGTCTAATCCTATAAAGTACTATATTGGCCAAAGAAATTTTAGTTTATTCTCAGCTCTTATCTACGCGATAGGTATCATATGTCTAAAGTCAGTATAAGAAATCATGGGAGAAAAGTTAAATGAGTTCAAACTGCCCACTAAGTTATGTTCTTGCCTCTCCCCAGGGTGGCAGAAAACAGGCATGCAAGTCAAAAGGCTCACCTGTAACTCTTTTACAATCATAAAGCACAGAAGCCTGTCTAAGCCATTCAGACCAAAAGTCCCCAAGGTGGTCTGGATTTCTGAGAAGAGGCGGCTGCTGGTCACTTCCTGATGAGTTTTCATATCATACCAAGTGTTCAGCTGGTCTATGTGACATGTCATTCTAAAATGAAAACAATGCAAAAATCCCAGAATGGCTCACCTTAAAGAAATGTTAGGACTCAACAGGACATTGGGCACCAAATTATGAAGAAAGGCAGTTACATGATCTGTGCTTTCTAACATCTGCATTCAGGCACCCAATGCATCTTCCCAGTGACCACCCAAGGGAACAGGAAGGTAAAATTCGGTCGGACCCCCTTTTCCTGCCCCCTGTCATATCATTGGTTTGAGTCACTTATTTCCATTGAGTTAGGCTGTTGAGTTGGAATCATGCTAAGAAGACAAGGTCAGGTTCAGCTGTCAGGCTGGAATACTTTAGAGCCCACTTATCTCTCTTATCTTCCTTTAAATTTCCAGTTTGGAGCAAAAACAAGGCCTTGTGTCATTTCCATTTGGTAAAAAAAGGAACCTACAATCTCCAAATGCTACCTAACATTTGAGACTATGATGACAAAGCCATTTGCTTTTTCCTCCCAGTTCCTTCAACTTGCAGATGACATCTTCTGGTCATCTCCAAATGATTCCTTGTAGATTCAGAAGTGTGACGATGACAATGACAATAACCAACCAACCATATTTACTGGGCACTTATTATGTACCAGGTACTGTGTGTGCTAAGACCTTTTCATGTGTTATTTCATCCTCATAACAGTTCTGTGGAACACAAACCATTTTATCCTCATTTTATAGATGAGATAACTGAGGCTCTCACAGGTCTGATCACCACCCTTAACCACCATTTCAGTGGTTTTCAAACACAGAGAGGGACCCTGAATCCGTGGTGGAGCTTGTTTGAAATAAAGACACCCAGCTTCCACTCCTGGAGAATCTGATTTAGTAGTTTTGGGGGAGAGCTCCAGCCTTTGTATTTTCAGCAAGCTCCACAGGTGACAACCTACTGTCCAAAGCCACCACATATCTTTACCAGAAGGAGGCTTGAGGAGCTGAAAGGGCCTAGAAGCAAGGGAGGTTTAAACCAGGAAGTAAATGGGGAGAACAAAACAAGAGGATTCCCAAACTGCATACAACTTCATCTGCTTGCTTCAGAGAGTTCTTCTGCCACCAAATATACTTTGATATATCACTGAAGAGGTCCCTGATTCTGATGATAAAATTTATATATGATGTGGAAATTCTGGTCACCCTTAATCTGCTCTCCCTGTATTAACAGGGCACTGGGTAGTTTTCTAAAAAAGTTTCAGTGATTGAAGGGTACCAGGAACGAAGGAGCTATACAACTTTTGAATCACTTACTCTTTTTGTCCCATGAGTCAAAATTCCTTATTTCTGCTGGAAATTTTGGAAGAAGGTCATATATAGTTTGTCAACTTTCATAAGTTTTGAAGGACAAAATAAGCCTGGATTAGAAGACAGTACAAAGGATCCAGGTCCTAAGAACGTTTCACTCACACAAGGTCAACTACACGTACTCGGGCGGACAGGGAACAAAGAGAATCGCTTTTTCCCTGGGTAATTCCACCAACCCTTCTGCTCAGTGAGCCTGTGCCCAGGGGTAGACATGAGAACCTGCTCTTCCCCGAACTGGTCTCGGTACCAACAGCTTCTCCTGAGGCTCAAATGAAGAAAAAGGAGGAAATCTGGCTCAGCTGGACTTACGAGAGGCAGCATGCTAGTCTCTGCCACGGTGCTTACCTAAAATATTCTCGGGAGTAGTTTTAATTAAATGAGATTTTCATCCAGTTACTGCTGAAGGTAGAGCCCACATGAACAGTTGTAGACCGTGATTTCTGTATACAAAGCTATGCAGTCTGCCCTTCACAGTACGGTGCTTAGGAGTTGGGCTCTGGAGTCAAAAGGCCTAGAGTGTATTCTGGGTCCACCATTTATTAACTGTGTAATGCTGGGCAAATGACTAAGCTTTTTTGTGCCTCAGTTAGTTCATCTTTAAAATGGGTATAAGAATAACACCTATCTCTTAAGACTGCTATAAATGGGTTAATGACTGGATATGTATAATGTGCTGGGAAGAATGCATAGGTAAGTGTTCCATAAACATTAGTTGTTATTATTAAAAGTGCTATGAGAGTAGGTTCTTATAAGGAGCACACAACCCAGATCCCTCACATGCAAAGTTCGTGCTCCTATGAGAATCTAATGCTGCCACTGATCTGACAGGGGGTGGACTCAGGCGGTAATGCTTGCTTGCCCATCACTCACCTTTTGCTGTGCAGTCTGGTTTCTAACAAGCCACAGACCAGTATCAGTCTGCAGCCCAGGGGTTAGGAATCCTTGTCCTAAAGGGTCAGAATATGAGTTGACAAGTGCAGGACCCCCAAGACTGGAACAGGGGCTGTGCCACAGGGACAGGGGTGCAGATGAGACTGCCTATGCTATTCAGGACTCTGAAGAATTCAGATATACCTACTTAGGGTCTGTGATCCGCAGGATTTCTCTGCAGAGTCTACCAATAAACGTTACAGACTCATCCACAGGGGTAAACTTGGGTATTGGAATATGAGTGGACTGGTACATGCTTTGCCAATCTTGAATCTAGAAAACAAAACCATCAATATTTAGCACACCTTTGATAAGATAACCTAGTTATCCCTTTTCCACATAATTTTACAAAGAATACTGCATAAAGATTGACAATAAAGGTTCTTGGTTTTTTTTTGTTTGGTTTTTTTTTAGATGGAGTCTTGCTTGGAGTGCAGTGGTGTGATCTCTGCTTACTGTAACCTCCACCTCCCAGGTACAAGCAATTCTTTTGCCTCAGCCTCCGGAGTAGCTGGGATTACAGGCGTCTGCCACTACGCCCAGCTAATGGCATAGAGATGAGTGAGGTCTTGCCATGTTGGCTAGGCTGGTCTTGAACTCCTGATCTCAAGTGGTCCTCCCACCTCGGCCTCCCAAAGTGCTGGGATTACAGGTATGTGCCACTATGTCTGGCTAATTTTTGTATTTTTAGTAGAGACGGGCTGGTCTTGAATTCCTGACCTCAGGTGATCCACTTGCCTTGGCCTTGAAAGCGCTAAGATTATAGGTGTGAGGTACTGCGCTTGGTCTGGTTTGTTTTTTATTTTAGAGACAGCATCTTGCTCTATTGTCCAGGCTAGAATGTCATGTGCAATCACAGCTTGTTGCCGCCTAACCTCCTGGGCTCAAGCAATCCTCCCGCCTCAGCCCCCAAGTAGGTGGGACTACAGGCAAGAGCTACTGTGTCTGGCCTGTTCCTTGGTTTTGAATAGGAAACTTCTAAAACTGCATTAATAATAGTCTCCCAGAAATGCCACATGTAACATTTATTAAAAGAAAAACAAAAAGTTTGTGACAGGGCCGGGCGCAGTGGCTCACGCCTGTAATCCCAGCACTTTGGGAGGCCGAGGCAGGTGGATCACGAGGTCAAGAGATCGAGACCATCCTGGTCAACACGGTGAAACCCCGTCTCTACTAAAACTACAAAAAGTTAGCTGGGCATGGTGGCGCGTGCCTGTAATCCCAGCTACTCAGGAGGCTGAGGCAGGAGAATTGCCTGAACCCAGGAGACGGAGGTTGCAGTGAGCCGAGATCGCGCCATTGCACTCCAGCCTGGGTAACAAGAGCAAAACTCTGTCTCAAAAAACAAACAAACAAACAAACAAACAAACAAAAAAAAAAGTTTGTGACAAGGTGAATGACAAAGAAGTGAGAAGATGAGCCACGGGGACTTCTGGCTTTCTGCCTTATAAATTGACATGCATCCATGTAAAAATCCAAAATATCCTAAGGCTGGAATAGACTTAAACTTTGGAAAATGTCACCCAAATCATGTCAGTTCCCACATAAACACTTGCAGAGTGGCTCCTTGTTCATTACTTACTAAAATCAAACTTCTCGGTATGGCTTTTGTGCATTTGGTGCTCTTTTTTTACCCAATTAAAGAAATGGGCAAAGGATTTTTTATGCACATTTTCCCAATGAAGACATATAATGGCCAATAAGCTGTTCAACATCATTAGCCATTACAGAAATGCACATCAAAACCATGATGAGATACCTTCATGTGCACTAGGGTGACTATAATTTTAAAAAATGGAAAATAACATGCGTTGGTTAGGACGTGGGGAAACTGGAACCCTTGTACACTGCTGCTTGGCATGTAAAATGGTGCCATTATTGTGTTACAGTCTGGCAGTTCCTCAATAAGTTAAGTATAGAACTACCCATTATAGGTCCCAGTATACACCCTGTCAAACCCAACCCAAACGAGTCCTAAAAGTCTTCTAAACTCAATCACGTGGATTATAACAATTACAACAAACAGCTTCATTCTGTAGCCATTTAAGGATGTCTGCCCTCTCGGACAGTGAGCTCCGACAGGCCAGGTGCCATGTCTACTCCTCTGCAACCCTCCTGGCTCCTGAAGGTACTCTGGATGTACTGAGACTATCCAGTGTTTACAGATTTTTAGGAAATAAACTTTCTTGTTGGCATTTCTGAGGTTTGGGTGTGTACTTTAAACATGAGAAATAACAAATATAGTCAAAAATTTTAAAAATTATTAGATACCTTTGTTCTTAGGAAGTTATTACACTCTTGCTCCACATTGTAATTTATAATACGAGACACTTCTTCCTGCCAAATCTTCAGACCATAAATGTTGACATAGTCCTGTATGTATTCAAAAGAACGATGGAATCCATCCATAGTGGCTCCCAACTCTTTCAGCTTGGGCATCAGTTCACTTGGCTGTGGAAAAGGGGAAACATTAAGCTCTTATAATGGAGTAAGCTGTCAACTATTAATACTAATATCTACACTAGACTTTAAATAGTATAGCAGACTGGGTGTGATGGCTCACACCTGTAACCCTACCACTTTGGGAGGCCGAGGCGGACAGATCACTTCAGGACAGGAGTTTGAGATAAGCCTAGCCAACATGGCAAAACTCCAACAATACAAAAAAAAAATACAAAAATTAGCCAGGTATGGTGGTGCGCACCTGTAATCCCAGCTACTCAGGAGGCTGAGGCAGAGGAACTGCTTGAACCTGGAAGGTGGAGGCTGTACTGCACTCCAGCCTGGGTGACAGAGCAAGAACTCATCTCAAAAAAAAAAAAAAAAAAAAATAGGCCAGGCACAGTGGCTCATTCCTGTAATCCCTGCACTTTGGGAGGTTGAGATGGGGGAACCACTTGAGGTCAAGAGTTCAAGACCGGCCCGGCCAACATAGTGAAACCCCCTCAAAAATACAAAAATTAGCCAGGCATGATGGCAGGAGCCTAAATCCCAGCTACTCAGGAGGCTGAGGCATGAGAATCACTTGTAGTCAGGAGGCAGAGGTTGCAGTGAGTTGAGATCCTGCCACTGCATTCTGGCCTGAGTAACAGGGCAAGACTCCTTCTCAAAAAATAAACAAAATTTACCATATTCCCAGCAGACAAAGCAGAATAAAAAATTATAACCTTTATAGTTCCTAACTGCTTTAGGAGGTAAGGTCTTGTTCACAATAGGTTAAAAACAGTATTCTAGTCCACTCTGCAAGCTGAGTGGAAAAGAGGACAGGCCAGCTTTGGTCACTGGGTACCTTGGCTCGAGGGTTGAATATCAGTCCCCTATGCAGGGCAAAGGCAACACGCTTCACAAGCTCCTTCCTTATTCCATCTTCCAGCAACTGCTTTGGATCCACCTAAGTGCCAATCAAAAGTATTAAATGATATTTATGAAAAACTCAGTCCTGATGAAATCCAGAAGAAAGATGGCTTCCCTGCAGGGGAATACTTTCCTACCTCCTCACAAATAATTTGAAATTTTTTCTTTTCCTGCCCCTGTGATCTTGCACAGCTTGGATGGAATTATTAAACCTGTCACTTTTTTAGGACTGTTTATCTTAGCAAAGTTGATGACGAAATTTGACGACATGGCATTTCAAAGACGGTGAATGGGAAAAGTTTTAAATGGACTCACATTCTAATTAATGCATTAAGAGTATAAAGTGCCTTTTCTTATCAGCAGGAGGAGGTGCGGGATGAAGGACCTCCAGTTAAATTTATAGATGCATGGTCTTCCTCCAGATTTTATTTCAGGGCTCCCTATATCCATGTGAGCAAACTCAGATTTGAGGTTGGAGCACTCTGTAAATGGAATAATTCTCTTTTCTTTCAGCATTCTTAGAATGCTGCTTGTAATTAGGGAGATAAAATAGTAAAGCAAATCTGCTATCTAACCCTATAAGCTTTTTATCTTATTAATTTTGCTAATTATTCTGTAATGAAAAAGCTTTTGTTATTCCTTAAAAAAGTCTCTTATCAGATCCATAAAACACCAAATGGTCTTTATATACTCCCTTGAATTCCCTGAGACTTGTTTCTTTTACTTTTAATTTGCAAAGAACCATTATTTTAAAAAATCGTAAAGGCAATTAATGGGTTCCATCTCGTTTTGATTATATTTAAATTTCAAATAAGACAACTGCAGTGGGAGTTGCAAAAACACAAAATCCAGAGAAACACATTAAGTTACGTCAAGACCATTCAATCTAAGCTATGTCAATACCATTCAATCAGGGAAATCCAGACTGTGGACCAACTAAAGGTGAAAGGCCCTATGTTCTTCAACAGATGAATTACAGGGAAAGAAAGGAAAGGAGGAGAAATCTGTAGATTAAAAAAAGACTTAAAAGACATATTTTTTTTTCAAATGGGCAAGTCTAAGCTATAGTCTAGAAATTAATGACATACAGTTTCATTGGATAATAAAACTATACACAGGAGGCCTAAGATTAGCTCAGGGTGCATGAGGGGGTTTTCAGGAGTGGGGCTGGCTAAATCATATTTCTCAACTTGGGTGGTAGTTAGAACGACTGGTGTTTATAATAATCCAACAGGCTACATCATTCTTTCTTTAGTTTTCAGCATCTGTGCTTTACTATACAATAAAAAGGTAAATTATAAAGATATAATCAATGAGTACAGAATCAAAGAAGTATCATGAAGCTTTCAAAGAAATATTCCTTGTAAGAGTGCTTTCATTAATCTAAAGATCTCAGGTGGCTCCTCTAATCCTTCCCAGATTCTCACTCATCTGTGGAAGTGTTCACAGCTAAGAGAAAGCCATCTTCACACAGCCCCTTCCTCACATTTCTATTCCCTTCCTGAAGTGACAACACTAACTGTTTTCATATGGATCATCCAGACCTTTCTCTATTCATTTATATACATAAATATTCATCCTTAAACATATATTTAATTTCAAAAATCTAAATGGGATCATATACATATATATGTACAGAGACATACGCAGGTATATCACACACATATATACTATACATATACACACAGACACACACATATATATCACATACATTTATATATAATCTGTGTGTGTATACATATATGTTGTTCTGTAATTTGATTTTTTCATTTTCTATCTTGGAGATTTTCCAGTGGTATCTTTTGTAGACCAATCCACAGTATGACTGCACCATGGTATACTTAACTATTCCCCTACTGATCAATGTTTAGAATACTTGACTTACAATGGGGTTGCATTCCAATAAACTCATCATAAGTCAAAAATATCAGAAGTCAAAGATGAATTGAATATACCTAATCTACCAAACATCAGAGTTCAGCTTAGCCTACCTCAGATGTGCTCAGAACACTTACATTAGCCTACATTTGGGCAATATCATCCAACACAAAGCCTGTTTTATACCACAGTATTGAATATGTCATGTAATTTATTGAACACTATATTGAAAGTGAAAAACAGTATGACTATCATCATGAAGTTGAATCATCATAAGTTCAAGACCATCTATATATATATATTTTTTTTTCTGCCCCTAACAATGAATGCTTATGCATATACCTCACTTGTTTTCAACCAAAGAGAACCTACATTTTTTTTTAAAAAAGCGTTTGAAAAACAACCTCAACAATCTGAGGTTAAAGATCAGTGAGGGCCACAGGATTCCTTTCAAAAGCCCTTAGTTGTGTTGGTGGACTAGCAGAGAAAGTCTACTGGGTTGAATGGAGTTGGTCAGCAGGATATTCCTTCTGCTGTTGTCATCTGAAAGATTGTGGGAAAAGATTAATACTTTACCACGCAGTCTTTCTTTTGATAATTATTGTTAATTACCTGTATTAGGTTTTATTACATCCTTCCTATACTGGTCACTTTGCAGTCCTAGGATTCATCATCCTATACATAAGAAGTGAGTAAAATGCATGTAGATTCTCTGCACATCAACTGAATTAACCTGGCATCAGGCCTAAAGCATGTTTAGCAAATTCTATTCATATTCTAGGAACTACAATGTTATTTATTTGAGCATAATGCCAGAAAACACATACCAAAGTTCCATTTAGGTTCATTCCCTCTATTTTCTTTGATTTGAATAACACAAATGTTAATATGGCAATTAGAAATGTCTAGATTCTACTGGTGTCAGATAAATAGAAAAATAAAGAAAAGAAAGTACCATAAACTGTACGAATGGGCCCATCACTAGTCACCATAGCACTCCAAATTAAAAAAGTAATGAGATACCACTTTATACTTCTTGGGAGAGCAAAAACTAGAAAGCGAATAATATCAAGTATTGGCAAAGATATAAGCAGGTACACAGTCATTTCAGAAGGTAATCTGGGAGTATTGAAACAAAGTACAAATGGGCCTTATGTCTCAATGGCCTTCTGATATTTTCGTTTTTTTTTTTTTTTGAGGCAGAGTCTTGCTCTGTCACCCAGACTAGAGTGCAACGGCATGAATTCTGCTCACTGCAGCCTCTGCCTCCCAGATTCAAGCGATTTTCTCAATCCCTCCTGAGTAGCTGGGATTACAGGTGTCTGCCACTATGCCCAGCTAATTTTTGTATGTTTAGTAGAGACAGGGTTTCGTCATGTTAGTCAGGCTGGTCTGGAACTCCTGACCTCAGGTGATCCACCCACCTCGGCCTCCCAAAGTGCTGGGATTATAGGCATGAGCCACCGCACCCAGCCGCCTTGTGATATTTTCAACATGCGATGAGTTTATTAGGAGGTAACACCATTGGAAGTCAAAGAACACGTGTATCTAAACACCCATCAGTAGGGGAATGGTCAAATATACCATGGTGTATTTGTACTATGGATTGGTCTGCAGCCACTCGAAAAGAATGTAGATTTCAGAGGAATTCTTGCACAGGTCTGGAGTGGGGATATACTCAGAGATGCTCATCATGACATTGGTTGTGATAATCGGGGGGCATAGGTGTCTGTCCCAAGCCGGGTGGTTAGGAAAAACGTGGAATTCTGTGCAGCAGTAAAAAGTAACCTACTATCTGACCTATAGCAATATAAATAAATTACAAAAGCAATAACCAGTAAGAGAAGTTGGAAAAAGAATGAGATTTAGAGCACCATATGATTGAGATAAATCAAAAGCACATGCACACATCAAATAATGCCATCTGCTAAAAATAAGAATACCTGCATATTTAGGAACATTTACCAAGCACACATAGTTGGTGTCATGGGTAATGGAAATGGAAGCAGGGACCAGGAGAAGAAGAAAACAAACAAACAAACAAAACAGGAGAGGAGCTTGCATGCCCCAGTGACGACAGTGGTCTGTGAAAAGAGGGATGTGATTATCTTAGCTCTCTGTACCTGGGGTATGAAATAAAAATACTAAAAATAAAGGAAGGAAAAGAGAGAAAGAAGAAAGCAATTTTGCCTAAGGAAATTGAATTTTTGTTTTTTTGCTTTTCCCAAAATTCAATAAAATATATTTTTCTTAGATTTAAACAACTCTTTGGTAAAACAGTAATAGCACCACACATTTTCTGCAGAACTGCAAGGTAAAGAAATTCCCACATTCAAGTCCAGGAAATACAGAGAACACCACAAAGATGTAAAAAAAAAAAAAAAAAAAAAAAAAAAGAAAAGAAATTCCCACTGCCCTCAAGTATTAAGAGAAATACAAATTACAATGCTTTCTCTTCCTCCATCAATAAGTGAGTAAAATGGGCTGGGCACAGTGGCTCACGCCTATAATCCCACACTTTAAAAGGCAAAGGCGGGCGGATCATTTGAAGTCAGGAGTTTGAGACCAGCCTCGCCAACATGGTGAAACCTGTCTCTACTAAAAATACAAAAATTAGCCGGGTGTGGTGTTGCATGCCTGTAGTACCAGCTACCTGGGAGGCTGAGGCATGAGAATCATTTGAACCCGGGAGATGAAGGTTGCAGTGAGCCAAGATTGCATCACTGCACTCCATTCTGGGCAACAGAGAACTCTGCCTCAAAAAATAAAATAAATAAAATAAATCAATAAAATGAAGACCAAAATTGGAATGTGAAATAGCAAGATGATGTCACTCCCTTTTCCACACATGATAATTACCACAAAAATCCAAACAGAGTCATGGTACGAGGCCACACTGACTAACAAAACTGTTACCTTGATGATGCCAACCAAAGTCGTTTTCATCATTAAGATGCCTTCAGTAAAAATGGAAATAGCATGAGTAAGCTTGGCAACCTTTAACAAAGAAAAAGAGGTATGAAAAGTACTTCAGATAAAAGACCCATCACTTCTGGGAAATCAGAAATCATTGGCTAATAGTCCTGGAATGGGCAAAGATAACAGGAAATGAACTTGTAGCTTTAGGATACCTGTGTCCACATGTTCTGGACAGAAATGTGGCTTTTATGCCCACTGTTAGACATACTGGGTAACTGAGTCAGAAGACATCAGTTCATTCTTTCACATTTGACAAAGCATTTCTTCTTTAGGCTTCATTTTTGCATGTATAAAATTTAAGGCAGAACTCAATGATCTAGATTGGCCCTTCCGGCTAGAAAAGACTACGGGACTGAGAAGGCAACCTCCCCTTCACTAGCCTCCCCATTATTTGCAAGCTACACCAGCAGATATTGATATGGTGGACAGGTGCTAGCTATATTGTTCAATCAGAATAAATGTGGAAATATCAAGTTTGATAATCTAAGTCCCTGACATATTTCTTGAACTTGTGTCAGAACAGGAAATTAACACTGTACATCGTATTTTCTATTTTCACTTGATTTTACTTTTGATGTCTTTAAATTGTAAGCTCAGGGAGAAAAAAACCAGAGGTGTTTGGTGAGAATAACCTCTGAGGCTGCTGAACTATTATTGAATGAGCTTAAAATCCACCCACAGGAAACAGTTAACAGAATATAGATTATTTTAAGCTCAAAAAGCAGGAACATGAATATGAAAAGTCAGATAATCTAGCTCAAAGAGAACAAAGGCTGCTTTACCAAGACAATTCTAGAAAAAAGTGAACAGCTGAGTGAGCTCCATTTTCCCTGAGCATACTGAGGCAAACAAGGCCTTAAATGACACCAGGAAAATATCAAGAATAAAAGGTATGATTCTACTAAAATTGTAAACCACGTTTATCATTGCGAATGTGAGAAAACAAGTCAGAAATGGTCGGGTGGGTCCCCAGCATACGGCAGGTGACACAGGCCTGTGATATTTCATGACTGTTAGTTTTTAGTATGAAAAGGCAGAAGTCAGAGGGGCATCACACCTCATATCGTGGGCCCAACTGGGCATAGTCCCTCAGCTTGTCTTTGTCCAGGCGGGTAGGCACTTCAATAATATCGTGAGTCTGAAGTTTTATGATCTTTAGAAGAGATGTAAACATGCTTTCTGGGATGATCTGCAAAACCTTCCATGAAAAGGAAAGGAGGAAATGCAATGAACACCCGTTTTACTTTTCTTGGCTGACAAATATTAGGATGACAGTAAACAGCAATTTGTCTGTAAAGGGGATGCTGAAAAACTTAAAAGAGCTATTTTAATAACTGCCAGCAGGCACAGGGCTCCATTCCTTTAAACTTTAGTTGCTTACAGAATATAAAGCTAATTCTAAAATGCTGCAAAAGACTGTATCATTTCCATGTTACAGAACTTAAAAAGATCGAGGTTCAAAAATGTTAAGTAACATCACTACAGAGGACTCAGCTAGTATGTGACGCTGTTAAATTTTGAATTCAGGCCTGTTTGGCTCCATGTTCTATAAGAAGTTATTAAAATGAGGATCAAAATTCCCATGAAAACCTGAATTGTGCTCTGACCAGGAGATGTTGGATCTAGATGTGGCTCTGCGATTTAGAAGAAACTATTATAATTTCTGCTTCTACATCTAAAAAATAGAGGTGAATACCACCAACATTCAAAACACAGAAGTAAAAACAGCTGTACATCCACAGTAGCAATAAGAATAAGTTTATTTTTAGGTGTTGAAAATTTCTGGAATCAAATTCTAAATAGGAAAAGAGGCATGAATGTACTTTTGGGGGCCTAAGCATACTTTTGTACTTAAAACAACAGCTATCTGGTAAGAGTAAACATCACCCTGATGCATTTCTTACTTTCCTCACATAGGACACCAACTCTCCAGAATAGTACTGCGACACGCTGAGCAGATCAGGGCTATTTGCCTGATTAATACGAAGAAGGGGCAGATCGAGCGCAGAGGCAAGCTGGAAGAAAAATAAGGTATATCTGTTTCTCTGTTTCAGAAAGAGTCCTAGAAATCTTTCTTTACAGAAAATGTAACATACAACAAAACATTTGAGCTTTACCCAACAGAGGGCAACGACCACCAAATCTCATCCATATTATTAATAGTTTCTGACAATATACTTTTTGAAAAACTCTAGTTAAACTGTGATGGCAGTGGTTATTTATTTATTTATTTATTTGAGATGGAGTCTCACTCTGTGGCCCACCCAGGCTGGAGTGCAGTGGCGTAATCTTGGCTCACTGCAACCTCCACCTCCTATGTTCAAGCGTTTCTCCTGCCTCAGCCTCCTGAGTAGCTGGGACTACAGGTGCGTGCCACCACAACCAGCTAATTTTTGTATTTTTAGTGGAGACCATGTTGGTAAAGCTGGTCTCAAACTCCTGACCTCGTGACCCACCTGCCTTCGCCTCCCAAAGTGCTGGAATTACAGGCGTAGCCCACCATGCCTGGCTGGCAGTGGTTCTTAAACTGTGCTCCCTGAACCAGTAGCTTTAGCATGACCCGGGAACTTGTTAGACATGCAAATTATTGGGCCCCACTCCACACTGACGTAATCAGACGCCCTGGTGGTGGGGCCCAGCAATCTGTGTTACAACCAGCCCTGCAGGTGATTCTGATGCATGCTCAAGTTTCAGAGCCACTGTGCCACAGAGGACAGCCACTCCTGTGTGGAAATCAAGACGTTCTGACTGAAGCGCTACTGAATCTGTCCAATCTAATAATGCCGTCAAGTCTAAGAGGTGTCATTATTTTCTGTGCCACTCAGAAAAAAACAAAATGCTGACAACTAAACTATGATATACCATCAATTATAAAACCCATCCCCAGTTACAGAAATGCTAACATATGAAAAACAGTGTAGTAGCCAGGCGCAGTGGTGCACACCTATAATTAAAGCTACTTGGGAGGCTATGGCAGGAGTATCACTTGAGCCTGGGAGTTTGAGACCACCCTGGGCAACACAGTGAAAACCCATCCCTCTCACCCCCAATTCCCCCCAAAAAAGGTGCATTTCAGAATTGATATATACGGTACATGGTAGCTCTGTCAGAAGACACTGAGTAGGCCAGGCATGGTGGCTCACACCTGCAATCCCATCACTTTGGGAGGTTGAGGCAGGAGGATCACTTGAGGTCTGGAGTTTGAGACAAGCCTGACCAACATGGTAAAACCCCATCTCTACTAAAAATAGTAAAAATTAGCTGGGCGTGGTGGTGAATGCCTGTAATTTCAGCTACTCGGGAGGCTGAGGCAGGAGAATTGCTTGAACCTGGGAGGCGGAGGTTGCAGTGAGCCAAGATCATGCCACTGTACTCCAGCCTGGGCAACAAAGGGAGATTCCATCTCAAAAAAAAAAGAGGAAGAAGACATTGAGTAGATTCTTTCTTCATTTACCATGAACTGAAATTACCACAAGCACATGGGCTGTGCCTGTTATTCACCACTATTCTCTAACTGTTATTGTAGATATTAATACTAGTTTGTAGCAGAGGCTTAGTAAGAATTTTTGGAATGAATAAGTGAATTAGCTTAATTCGTGCCCAGCGAATAAAGAACACAAAGGTCTTGCATTTTTAGTACACAGATAAAACTTAAAAAAAAAATCTATTCTTCACTTAAAAATAGTATTCCTGAAGACACTCCAACTTATATTATTAATTCAAACTTTAAATATTTCTAGCATCTTTGATACTATGCTCTCATGGAAAAATTGCTAACAATTTCAGTCTATAAAAATACTGAAATTATTTACCTTCCTAAAAGGATAAAATGCTGGGCTGAATTAATGAATGAGGTATGAATGAAGGCCAACTCTTTCCTAGTAACAGAGAATCTCATTGTTTTTGCTTACCTTTAGGAAGGTAGCTCTGAGTTTAGTAACCATGGATGGATTTACCCTTATGCTTTCTTGCATGATGGATGTGAAACTGTAAAAACAGAGAAATGGTAAGAAGATGCTCCCAGGGCTTCCATCAAGGGCAAATGTCAGGCTGTCTACATTACCTGTCAATCAACTGCCAAGCAAAAGAAAGATCCCCTACGATCTGCATTGTGATCAGAACCTCTTCTTTAATGTTAATAGTTCTGATCATTTGATGAAGAAACTTTCGAGTATCGGCAAGAAACTGACATACTTGCAGATTTGATTCCAACTGGTGGAATTCTTGAACCTGTGTTACAGAAATACACTTCATTTAAAAATCCTGAATGGACTCTATGGTGCTCATTTGTTCTTGAAAATACTTCAAATAAAGCACACTACTTCTCACAAGTTCTTAATAAAATTTTTATTTCAAATTATAATTTCAGAAATACACTAGCCAAGCTATTTAAAAAATGCACAAGTTTCTGGGATTAAAAAATGTTCCACTGCTTATTATTCTGTATATCACAACCAGTATGTTGGCACTTGTATATTATCAAGTTCTTCTGATGCACTTTTAAAACAAAATCATGATTCTACAATGTCCTGAAATTTTAATGTATTTAACTCAAGATGCCTGGGTTATATGCCAAAATAAATAAGGCAAATGATAAAAAACATTTGAGATTTACAAAGTTATTTACAATTGTATTGTAGACTAAAAAAAATCCAAAACAAGCAAAGTAGAAATAATACAAGTGTGCAGTTATTCTGGAGTAAGAAACTTTGGTAGGAATATTTTACTGTGTTGCTGTTTATAGTGACCATCCTAAAAATCTTGCAGAACTAAGAAAAAGCCTGTAACAAAATCTACCAAGGGAAAAAAATATTAATTATATTTCTAAAAATATATATTCACACCATTTGGATAGGGTTATAGATTATGAGTAAAAATTATGTTTTAAATAATAGAGTTCCCTGGGCACGCAGTGGCTCATGCCTGTAATCCCAGCACTTTGGGAGGCCAAGGTGGGTGGGTCACTTGAGGTCCAGAGTTTGAGACCAGTCTGGCCAACATGGTGAAACCCCATCTCTACTAAAAATACAAAATTAGCGGGGTGTGGTGCCGGGTGCCTGTAGTCCCAGGTACCCTGGAGGCTGAGGCAGGAGAATCACTGGAACCCAGGAGATGGAGGTTGCAGTGAGCTGAGATCACACCACTGCATTCCAGCCTGGGCGACCGAGCGAGCGAGACCCCATCTCACCAAAAAAAAAAAAAAAAAAAAAGTTTATGGTTATTTTTCTCATGCTTTTAGTTTCCATTGAAAATCTCGTTAAATACACAAATAAAATTTAAGAGTAGTGAGGTATAATTTTTTTGGTACAATCATTTTTAGTTGATAGAAAAACAAACTATTTTTTCAGAAAAGAAAATATACCACTGTAGGCATATGATCATTATATAATTATTTTCATTTTTGTGTGTTTTTTTCCCCAAGGCACACACTTTTTTGCAACCCTAAAAATAATATACACATGCAATTTTGGTTTTGCTTTTACCTCCTTAATACAATTTGCCCAGTGTTTCTATATTATTTTTATAATTATGTTTCTAAGATTACATGTTTCCTCAAGTTAAAATATTGTAATTTTTGCCACCATTCTCTTCATACTGGTCATTTATTTCCCCAAATTTAGGGCACTAAGTGTTACAGGAAACATATTAATGTTGCTTTTATTTCTGATGAAATAGTCTCTTAGATATATTTACAGAACACACTGCTGGGTGGGTCATAAGGTATGATTCATAATCTAAGAATCTTCATTTTAACTTCCTTACCTCCTCCAAAGCTTGTATCAGTTGCACAGTTTTTCTGCCCGCAGCAGTAGAATCATCATAATTCAAAGACAATATTTGTTTTGAGATCTCTCTGAACCAAGCTTGAAGATTTTCTGGAAAACAGAAATAAGAAAAGATTACTGAAATCCTTGAACTCCTGTAGCTGTGGCTTTGAACTGAATTATATAATCTTTTACAAATTCAGTTCTTCAGAGCTTTTACCATGGGCCTAACACTAGGAATTTTCTAAACGACAGAAGTGCCTGGAGCATGCACCATCACAGAATAAACTTTCTGCATAAACAGCTTTGTCTATAACACTTGGCAGACAAATACTACAGGCCCAAGTACATGCTATCAAGGGTAAGTGTGAAGGTGGTAGTGGCAGTGGAGAAGAGTCAGAAAGGAACTAAAGGGTGTCCCTAGTTCCCAGGGGGAGTTTTCTGGAGAAGCGAGTATAGGTAAAGATCTGGATCGTTGGAGAGATGAAGAAGGGTATACTGTATCTAGATGAAAGGCAGACACAGGCAGAGACATCAGGGCAGATGTCTACAGTACATCTACAGCAATTCTATAGTATAATTAACTTCATCAGAATTCGGTCTGATAATCACAACAAAAAAGAGCCTATCTTGGAGGGGAAAGAAGAGACCAATATGACAAAAGTGTAAGGTGTGACTGCTGAGTCACAGGGATGTCTGAACAGTTCAGGGGGTGCCATTGCATTTATGAACCAGCAGACATTTCATACAGTGGAGAAAGAGAAGGGTGTCCACATGCTCTAAGTACCCTCAGTGTGTCAGACAAAGTTCTAAGTATTTAATCTTCGCAGCAATATAGGGAGGTGGAAATTGTTAGCTATTTCCCAGATAAAGAGGCTGATGCTCAGAGAAACTGAAAATATTATGCAGGGTGACATGGTTACTAAATGGCAGAGCCAGGACTTAACAACCGTCTGTCTGGGTTCAAAAACTCTGTGCTCTTTACCTCACGAAGTTAGTCTAGTTTTTTTGTTTTTTTTTTTTAAATCAATGGGGTGGTTTCACCTTATTAAAAGGACTTAATGACTTATAATCTAAGTTACTTCAAGAATTGGCATGACGAACACTCATAATTTTGTAGATTTTTGTAGGGCTGACGGGCAGCGATTGGAGGAGTAGAAAGAGCATGACATTTCAGGTCTGAGATGACTGAGACCCTGGCTCTCTACCTTCGTACCTTTGGCAAATGATTACATTTTTAAGTCTCAGTTTCCTTACATATAAAATAAAGATTAAGATGTGTATCTTACAGGGTCGTAAAGATCAAATGAGAAAAATTTGTGAAAGTATGTTCTAAGCTGTAATAAACTATACAGCCCGGAAAAAAATGTAAAATTGTTATTTCATCTCTGAAACAACGCTGGTATTTGTAAGGGCCTAAAAGAAACAATCACAGAGATGAACGTGCTGATTCTGGACAGCTAACTGGGTCAGATTGTTACACGTGATTGTTTCGCAGGTCACAATATGATAACCATTATATTCATTCTAGACTTCAGGTTTCATATCACAATATAGTGACCTACAAAACATGTTTCCAGTTTATATGACATCATTATATATTGGCTGATTTTTCCCTATAGGAACAATAATACAATTTGGAAATATATTTTTGACCAACCACTCAGCATCAAAGAAATAAACAAAAGCCAAAATACAGTAATCACAAGCTCAGATTAAAAATAATAGTTTTTAAACAAGAAGCTACACTACCAAGAAATTCTACAGTATAATTAACTTCATCAGAAATCAATCAGATAGTTAAAACAAAATTAAGCATTTAAAAAATAGTTTGTCACTATTCACTATTCTGAAAAACTTCAGAAAGCTTTTGGGGAGCAGTTAGAAAATTTCTTATTTATAAAAATTTGAAATGGTGCCAGAATTTTCCTAAAAATAAAATTTCCAGAAGAAGTAGGATCAAAATTATTAAAGTAAAACTTGGGCTGTGTTTTTTTCCCAAAAATAGTCTGCAGTACCCTCTTCTGCCACTAGATAGCAGGTGCATTGGTGAACAAGAACGGAGAAACATAGAATTTTATATATCATCTATGTTACTAGACTACTGACATTCATGGGTGATTTATCCTTCTTGAGAAGATCATGAGAGTTTCAGATCCTTTCCCCCCTTTCCCCAAATGCACATAAACTGACTCATTAGTTTTTCATACCATGGAGGTGGAGGCCAACTATGACTCTCTAAACTTGTCTATGAACTGGAGTTACCATCAAAGATAAGATATAAAACCTGAACTCTAGAATGGACATGAACATTGCCCAGGAGAGCAGAAAGCTAGAAGCAGCCAAAACTAACCTTCAGATCTTTATTAGCAACACTAAAGAGGGAATATCAAAGGCTACAACAATGAGAACATAAAGCCTTTTCCAAGGTGTCAAATAACCTGTGTCTACATTTCAAACACACCAGTATTTCGTCTTCAGCAATTACCATTTTTCTCCACTCTTGTTAGGGGTTTCACTCCTGAAAAGACATCAGCAAGCTCAGTCATCCGCTCTGAACCCTCTTTCTTGTAATGCTCCCATTTGGTTTGCTTTTCTGAAAGCATTTGCTTGAACATCTGTTGAAGTGAAAAAAAAGATGTATTTACTTAAGAGAAAATCCAGACTAGGCAGCTTATGAAGAGAGCTTGAGGAAACCCAATTTAAATTTTAAATAAGAAGCTGCACTATATATTAAAATTGACCCTGATGTCATCTCCTTACAGAAATTCAGGGACAAAGCTAGACCACGTCCAAAACAGTAGTTTTCACACCAACTGCACATAAGCACCACCAGGAGGGCTTTAAAGTTTCAGAATCCCAAGACCCACCCCTAAAGCTTCTGGTTCAGGTGGTCTTGAATAGGGCCAGAAATCAGCATTTTTAATATGAGATTAAATTTGTGACCAGTGCTCTGTGGTTCTTTCTAGACAACAATGTCTGCAGTTCTAACTTAAATAGTCAGGGACAGTTTGCGTATTACCTTTTCCAATGACTGGGGAATGAACTAAATCACCTACAAAAGTTCTTCGTTTTATCATATACGTTTCATTGTTTATTTTTATTTATTTATTTATTATACAAGTAATTCTGTTTCTTTGTATTTATTTTTAGCAACAGGGTCTCATTCTGTTGCCCAGGCCAGAGTAGTGGGGTGATCATGGCTCACTCAACCTTGAACTCCCAGGCTCAAGTGATCCTCCTGCCTTAGACTCTCAAGTAGCTACGGCTATGGGCATGCACCACTATGCCTGGGTAATTTTCTTCTTATTATTATTTTTTGCAGGGATGGGGGCCTTGCTGTGTTGCCCAGGCTGTTCTCAAATTCTTGGTTTCAAGTGATCCTACCTCCTTGGTCTCCCACAGTGTTGGGATTACAGGCAGAAGCCAATGTACTACCTTAATTCTGTTTAACGCACTCCTTCATAAAATTTAAATGCTACAAAGTCTTGGGCAGAGAAGAAAAGGGTGTAACTCAGGGCTAGGCTTTTTTTTTTTTTTTTTTTTAACCTGAAACAAAATTTAAAAACATACTTATTTCTCACTAAAGGACACACCACCTCAGACAAGGTAGATGGTTCATTGCACTGGGCTCTTACAAGGTAAACAGGCATGAAACACTGATTCCTCGCTTAAGAAATTCCTCACTTGCCAGCATCATAATGAATCTTGAAAAGCTGAGTGATGGGCTAGGGAGACTCCATCTGCAGGTGGAGAATCAGGGCTCTGTGGAGGAAGAATTTGAGTGATCTAGAAAATGACTAATCAATAAGATAATGAGGAAGAGGATGAGGAATAATGGAATTATTTATAGAGTCTACCCTAACTTTCTGAGTGCCTCAGATCAATCAATGCCATTTGACAAGGGCAAAGCAATGACATAAATAAGCACCCTGAGGCCTTCGTAAGAGACTACATGGCATCCAGCCCCTCCCAACAGGCATTCACATGAACTCGCAGGTTTCGTATCTTACAGGATGGAATTTGGGATAGGGGATGGTCCCTGAATTAGGAAATGTACTGTCATATAAAGATTAGAAGAAACACAGGTCCAATTACTGTGTCTATAGGAGACTCAGAAAGTGATTGGATGGGAAGCAGAAGAGAGAGGAAGCATGGGTTAAAGAACCAAGCTGAAGGCCAGGCACAGTGGCTCGTTCCTGCAAACCCAGCACTTTGGGAGGCCAAGGTGGGCGCATCACGGGAGGTCAAGAGTTCAAGACCAGCCTGGCCAACATGGTGAAATCCTGTCTCTACAAAAATTAGCCAGGCGTGGTGACAGGTGCCTGTAATCCCAGCTACTCAGGAAGCTGAGGCAGGAGAATTGCTTAAACCTGGGAGGTGGAGGCTGCAGTGAGTAAAAAATCACACCACTGCACTCCAGCCCGGGTGAGAGAGTGAGACTCCATCTCAAAAAAAACCAAACCAAAACAAAACAAAAAAGCTGAAATGTCAGAAATTCAAATGTCACTTCTTTGCTCAATTTTTATTAAGTATATTTTTTTCTTTTTACCAGAGCTTTCCCAAAGACCTTTAATGAGTTTGCACTCCTTTATGCTGTCTTGTTTCCTGTCTACCTGAATAGACAGAAGGAAGCTGTCCATTTGGTTTCCATAGATTCCAGAGAACAGACTTATCATTAGAAATGTAGGGTTGGTCAGTCAGACAATGCTGAACTATATATTATCTATAGAACTCTTGGGTTTCTGGGGCTCCAGATCATGATTCTAACTGGCCTCAGGGTATTTCTTCCTTTGTTTTTTTTTTTTTTTTGAGAAGGAGTATTGCTCTGTCACCCAGGCTAGAGTGTGGTGGTGCAATCTCGGCTCACCACAACCTCTGCCTCCCGGGTTCAAGCAATTCCCCTGCCTCAGCCTCCTGAGGAGCTTGGATTATAGGTGTGCACACTGTGCCCAGCTAATTTTTGTATTTTTAGTGGAGTTGGGGTTTCCCTACGTTGGTCAGACCGGTCTTGATCTCCTGACCTCAGGTGATCCACCCGCCTTGGCCTCCCAAAGTGCTGGGATTACAGGTGTGAGCCACTGCAGCCTGACTGGGCATTTCTTCCCTGGGAGCATTTTTTTCACTTGCCTTTGAAAGGCCACTTTTGCTTTGACTTGGTTCCTGTTCTTGGATCTTTCCTGGTTTCTCATCTTGGCTTAATCTTTCTTCCCCTAATATACTGACAGCTCCTAGAAGATAGGGGCACTTTGTTCATATTTAAATTTCCAGTACCTAGCAAAGAACACAGTAGATACTCAATAACTATTTGCTATTCAGAGGGAAATCATTAAAATTATTAATAGATCAAAAAGGAGCAGCATTTACCTGATTTGATAAAATAATAACCAGACAAATCACTGAAAACACTCAGCATAGGCATTATCATTATGTTAGCAGTTGGCATCTACTTTTTCTGAGCTACTTAATGGGGAATATAGTGTCCTCAGACACCTACAAGATAAACATCTAGTATTCCATTAACAAAACTGAAGCAAAAGGAGGATCTGTTCTGAACAGGTGTAAATATCCGATCTATTCCTGGCCCACCTGATCCAAACCCCCAGGGTTACTGGTTATAAGACCTGGGTATTCCCAGGTACCAATCATTTTTATTATGCTCATATAAGCTTCTTTGGAGGTAAGACTAACCTCAGCATTTCCTTCAGCGAACTCAGATGCCTTAAAGTCCTCAGGATGACCTTGTACAAATGCAAATTACCCATCCCACTTAATCCCTTTCCGATAGGCTCTCACAGTTCTTACAATAAAGACCAAAGTCCTACAAGGCCTAGCACGGGCTGGCTCCTGCCTACCTTTCAGCTTCCTTTCACACTGCCTTTCTCTCCCTCTCTCCCCTCCAGCCAACTGGTCTTTCAGGTCTTTGAATTGTTTATGCTCCTCCTCACCCAAGAAGACTTGATATTCTTCTCCTCACTGGAATGTTCTTCTGACTGGAATCCCCACCTTTGTCTGGCTAACACTCACAGACCCCTTCTCCAGGTCCTTTCAGAAGCTCTTGCTTTTATTCTCATGGAAGTCTCCCAGGCTGCAACAGGATACTTTATTTTAGGTACTTGGAGAACTACATTCCTTTCCTTCAGAGCAAATATCTGAGTTTATATTTACATTTTTATTAGTGTGATTCTTTTTTTTGAGAGAGGGTCTCAATCTATGGTCCAGGTGGAGTGCAGTAGTGTGACCTTGTCTCACTGTAACCTCTGCCTCCCTGGTTCAAGCGATTCTCATGCCTCAGCCTCCCCAGTAGCTGAGACAATAGGCGGGCACCACCACACCCAGCTAATTTTTGTATTTTTAGTGGAGACTAGGTTTTCACATGTTGGCCAGGCTGGTCTGGAACTCCTGACCTCAGGTGATGTGCCTGCCTCGGCCTCACAAAGTTGTGGGATTACAGGCATGAGCCACTGCACTTGGCCTAGTATGAGTCTTTGATTAACGTTTATATTCCTCCTTAGGCTATAACCTCTACGATCTCATGTACCTTTCCCCGTCACCGTACCCCCAGTGAAAGGAGGTATTACATGCTTGTTAAATGTTTATATCTGTCCTTTTACTATAAGAACTATCTCAACAGCTGAAATCTGAACCTTGAATCAGAGATGGAGCAAGCAATCCTAGTCTTTTTTAAAAAATATTTTAAAGCATAAAAAAGCTAAGACAATGGTGATATTCATTCAAATATTTTTACCTCTTTGAGTATAAACTCAAACTGTGCAGTATCCAATAGCAACTGGAAGAGGATCCTGGGATTGTACCGAGAGTCTGTTAGAATCTGGTCCTTGATTTGACGAAGGCGTTTGTTGTTTGGGTCACAGGCTAGAAACAGGAAAAGTGTTACCTGCTTACAAAATGTGTAGAAAATATCTATAAAAATAAGATTTAATTCTTAAAATACTTTCCTTCATTTTAAGCATTTAAAAAGTAATAAGCAAAAGGTAGATCCATAAAAGATAGTGAAATATAGTACATCTATGCAATGGAGTACAATTAAACTGTTTTTTTTTTTTTTTTTTTTTGAGACGGAGTTTCACTCATGTTACCCAGGCTGGAGTGCAATGGCGCGATCTTGGCTCACCGCAACCTCTGCCTCCTGGGTTCAGGCAATTCTCCTGCCTCAGCCTCCTGGGTAGCTGGGATTACAGGCACATGCCACCATGCCCAGCTAATTTTTTGTATTTTAGTAGAGACGGGGTTTCACCATGTTGATCAGGATGGTCTCGATCTCTTGACCTCGTGATCCACCCGCCTCGGCCTCCCAAAGTGCTGGGATTACAGGCTTGAGCCACCGCGCCCGGCCAACAATTAAACTGTTAAATGACAATTGAATCTGACATGGAGTATCATCCTTGAAAGATTGTTAACTGAAAAAAACAAAAAAACAAAACAAAAACAAAACAAAAAACAAAAAACAAGCTGCAAAACAGTGTTTCCAAATTTTGTGAGTTTTCTGCAGCTTGTTTATAGCAACTGCCCAAAATGAATGGGGGCAGTCTTCTTGTACCACTTCAGAGATGGGTGGCTTCCTCATGTCCTGTCTGTTTGGAGTTGCTTTGCTTTAGGCATTGATCCCTGCCATTCAGTTGCGGTCTGCTATCCTTAGAGAGGCCTGTTTGCAAGGCTGGCTCTTGGTTGGCATCTGGGAACTTGAATTTCATGAAGAGCTGCCATCATTTTGAGAACTCACAAGATCAGCTCAGTAAGCCTTAACTGTCTGTACAAACAATGCTTTCCTTCTGGAAGTCTGGAATTTTGGTACATGCTGGGTAGAGGCTACCTAGGTGAGAACCCCTAGTAAAAACTGAAGGAAGCTGAGTCTCCTGCCTTCCTAGTCCTCCTGCCATCAACATCTCAGATGTCTGGCAGGTATAGAACAACAATGTTGTATATGTCATGGATGGTTTTGGTGCTTTAGTTATGATACAGCCTGTGGAAGGTCATTTTATATGCTGATTTCTAAGTTACTCCATCAGGAAGAGAGACTCTTGACAGCCTGGAAAAGAGGCTCAGTTTTCAAGGGAAGCTGCAGAGTTCTGATTTTTCATGAATTTTCCAGAACTATCTGGGAAGAAATATATTGGAATTGGTGACAACGATTACACAAAGAGAAAATTTTCAGCTCCATATTGACCTAACTAAACACAAATCAAACTCAGGAGTTCCACTTGCCTTTAGATTAATTTTAACTCAACTAGAAACCTTCTGATTTTAATCTGCTTTCTTATTTGCTTAGAGAATGTAAGTACCCAGTTGTTGGACAAACACTCCATATTCCTCAATGTGCTTTAACATTTAGCTACTTCATATAAACCAGGAGCTTCTTGTGTTCCCAGGACCTGACCATCTCTTTCAGATCCGACCCTTGAGGATTCATACCCAGAGAACTGCAGAATCATTCGAATTTTCAGGTCAAACTTCAGTAGCCAGCCAGCCTTTCTCATCCAATATTTCCTAAGAGAATGTTTCTTCACAAGGTTCTGTACAAGCATCCTATGCCTGGGAAATGCCTCCAGCAACTCAATAGGAGGCAATCTGAGAATATGCCTGCCTTTCTGTACAGCATGACTGAAATTCCATAAAAGTTAAGTAAGCAGTTACTTTTCCTATGTGTGACTCGCAATCAGATAGGCCAATCATTTGTTTCTGATAAATAATGACCCTGGGCTGGGCATGTGTGGCTCATGCCTGTAATCCCAGCATTTTCAGAGGCCGAGGCAGGCAGATAACCTGAGATCAGGAGTTCGAGACCAGCCTGATCAACATGGAGAAAAACCCTGTCTCTACTAAAAATACAAAATTAGCAGGGTGCGGTGACGCATGCTGGTAATCCCAGCTACTTGGGAAGGTGAGGCAGGAAAATCACTTGAACCAGGGAGGCAGAGGTTGCAGTGAGCCAAGATCGTGCCATTGCACTCTAGCCTGGGCAACAAGAGCAAAATTCCGTCTAAAAAAAAAAAAACAAAAAAACTATGACCCTGTGCAATATAATCAGGTCAAGCAATTGCCAGGCACAAAAATGAAAGACAAATGTGGCTAAAGATAAACCACAGACCTGTGGCATGCCAGGGTTGGCCCTGGCATAGGTGCAAATTCAGGAGACTACAGGCTTTCTGAACACAGGCAGGGCTGTCAGGCAGAGTCACGAAGAAGATGAAGATGAGGCTGAGTCACTAGAAAACCCCAGGTGGTTTTATGATAGGATAAAGTGAGGGCTTGAGTTGTTTATACGCTAGTAAATGTAAGACTTTTGGTAAAGAAGATTAAAAGCTGAGTCAATGCAGTAAAATCCTCAAATTAGAACTGGAGTTTATGTAAAAAATAAACTCAACTAATTAAAAACAGATCCAGGCCAGGCACGGTGGCTCAAGCCTGTAATCCCAGCACTTTGGGAGGCTGAGGTGGGTGGATCACGAGGTCAAGAGATCGAGACCATCCTGGTCAACATGGTGAAACCCCGTCTCTACTAAAACCACAAAAAAATTAGCTGGGCATGGTGGCGCGTGCCTGTAGTCCCAGCTACTCAGGAGGCTGAGGCAGGAGAATTGCTTGAACCCAGGAGGCGGAGGTTGCGGTGAGCCGAGATTGCGCCATTGCACTCCAGCCTGGGTAACAAGGGCGAAACTCCATCTCCAAAAAAAAAAAAAACAGATCCAGTGATTACAAAATTCAGCCATGGTATTCATCCTGTGGGTGAATTGTAAATGGATATAGGCCAACAAGCATTTGATGAAACAAACTGGAAAGCAGCTCTCAGGGTAAGGGTTGACGAAGCTGGAGAGAAAGCTGAGGGGAAACTCCACACATTTCCAAAGATATGAAGGACGAGGAAGTCCAACTGCTGTTTCGCTGTGGGTCACCCATAGGAAGTGGAAACAGACGGTAGCTAGAGGGACTGTGAAGTCATCTTGGCTGGAGGAGTTGTGAGACAGGGGCTGCGTTACAAAAGGAGGCTACAGAGGAATCTGGTGTGCGCAGTTTTTTAAAGAGACACGGTCTTATCTGAAAGAACAAAGAAGTGCTGCACACACTGCCTGTCTCAGAGTTGATCCTCAAGGAAAGTTTGTTGAGTGAAAAACAAAAAGCAGAGGGCTTCACAGGCCTGCTGAATGACAACCTCTTAGAGGTTGGGGTATACAGCCCTGGATGAGGGAATGCATTGGTTCATTAGTGTTGATCCAACATTTACTAAGAATAAGAAACTGTGCCAGCCCTGAACAAGCTCAGAGATGTTAGTTCAACTTATTTTTCTACAATTAAACCAAAGGTAGAGGTGTTTCTCACAATCTGAATTTGATGGTCAAACTGTGTGGATAGAAGGTCTCGGAGACCATGACCCATAAAAGGCTAAGACCCAATCTACCTTAAATAAGCACTCTGGTCCAGCCAGGTCATCAACTCAGTGGGCCCATACATTTTTCTATTATTTCCAAAATCGTAACACTTATTCCATCATTTCTGCAGTCTAGAATTTCTTCTGCTTTTTGCTTTAAAACCTCATCACAGGCCTGGTTGGCCGTGATTCCTGCATGGGGTTTTCCTGACCTCCTCTGCTCCCCTAACCCAAGCTGTTTCCCTCTCTGCTCTGGACTCAAATCACACAACTGTCTGTTTGACACACCTGGTCTCTGTTTCCTGCCTTAGGCCTTGGATTAGTTTCCCATTGCGGCTCTAACAATTACCATAAACTCAGTGGCTTCAAGCAACACAGATTTATTCTCTTATCATCCTAGAAGTGACAAATCTGAGACGGTGCTCACTGGGCTAAAATCAAGGTGTTGGCTGGGCTGGGCTCCTTCTGGAGGCTCTAGGGGAAAAATCTGTTGTCTCGCTGTGTTCAGCCACTAAAGGCTACCTGTATTTCTTGGCTTGTGGCCCCTTCCATTTTTAACACCAGCCATAGCCAGTAAAGTTTTTTGTCACAGTGCATCTCTCTGGTTCTGACATTTCTGCCTCCCTCTTCCTGATTTAAGGACTTCTATTTACATGCTGGGCATGGTGGCTCAGGCCTGTAATCCCAGTACTTTGGGAGGCTGAGGTGGATAGACTGCTTGGGCTTAGGAGTTTGAGACCACCCTGGCCAACATAGTGAAATATTATCTCTACAAAAAATACAAAAAAGTTAGCTAGGTGTGGTGGCACACACCTATAGTCCCAGCTGCTTGGGGGGCTAAGGCAGGAGTATCACTCAAACTCAGGAGGCCAAGGTTATAATGAGCTGAGATTGTGCCACTGCACTCAAACCTGGAGGACTTGAGATCCTGTCTAAAAAAATAATTAAAAAAAAAATTTTAAAAAGGACTCTTATTTTATTATTTTTTGAAACATGATCTTGCTCTGTTGCTCAGGCTGCTGTGCAGTGGCACGATCTTGGCTCACTGCAGCTGCAACCTCCCAGGCTCAAAGTGATCTTCCCACCTCAGCCTCCCAAGTAGCTGGGAATACAGGTGCCTGCCACCATGCTCAGTTAATTGTTTTACTTTTTGTAGAGATGGGGTCTCACTATGTTACCCAGGCTGGTTCTTAACTCCTGGGCTCAAGCTATCCTTCTGCCTTGGCCTTCCAAAGTGCTGGGATTACAGGTACGAACCACCATGCCCAGCAAGGACCCTTATGATTACATTGAGTCCACCAGGATAATCCAGAAACATCTCGTTACTTTAAGGTCAGCTAATAGGCAACCTCAATCCCCCTTTTTCATGTAATATATCTAATGGTTCAGGGACTAGGGCATGAACACCTTTGGGGGTGGGCTGGAAGGGATTATTCTGCCTACCACAGACGGGCAGTTCTATTTTTTCATATGTCTACATTTGATCTCCCCAGTCTGCTGAGTGACAAGTTCCTTGAACATGAGAGCAAAATGTCCTCTTATTCCCTAGCACCTAACAGTACCTGACAGGGGAGAGCTTTTCAGGTGTGCTAGTGGCCTATCCAAGTTGACACAAAAATGACTACCTTTTAAAAGCAACTTGATTCTCATCCAAGGCCCCTCTCCCTGCTAAACCACTCTGCATCATGAAGTAGGTCCTGATTCTGAGAGTCTTGATGTGGTGCAATATAAACAGCCATGCCTTTTGTGCATTACCTGAGTCTGCTGTATGAAGCATCAGCCATCGGATGGCAACATTACAATCTCTCAGGCAGTTCAGAAGCCTTGGGATATTGTCCAGAACCATCTCCTCCCTTAAATAACCTTCTTTTAGAAATTGCTGCACTTGAGCATGCACTCTTTCACTGACAGTAGCATATCTGCTTGCCTGGAAAAACAAAAAAATTCAATTACATTTAAAGAGTCATTTATCTTGAAAATAACTCACATTCAAATGAATCCACTGACAAATGGTAACATTTCTATATAAGATGAATGACATATGGACTCCAGTTATAGGGCTCAAAGACAACATTTTATATAACATGAATGACATGGACCATAGTTAAAGGGCTCGGAGACAAAATTTCTATATAACATGAATGACATATGGACTCCAGTTACAGGGCTCAAACATGAACATTTCCATATAATTTCTATATAAGTAACATATGGACTACAGTTCTAGGGCTTGAAGACAACGTTTCTACATAAGATGAACAACATATGGACTATAGCTCTAGGGTTCAAAGACAACTGGCTTATTGAACATATTTAAAAAATGCAATCGACTTGGAATTCTGAGACTACTTCCTAGTTCTGGCTGTGGATAAACTTTGGTGTGACTTGGGGCTTAACCCCTGTGTATGGGTTTCTTAAAATTTCCAACGAAGACTTGGACCAAGTAGTTCCTAAGAACTCTTCTATTCTTAACTTAGATGATAAAGAAACAAAGACAGAAGCTCAATTGCTTGTTCTTGCTAATACTGTTGACAAGGCAGAACAGAGCAGAAATACTTCAAAGTTAAGAGTTCTTCTAAAGGTTTATGAAAGCTTAGCAAAAAATACACCTTAGTATATCAAAAATGAATTCCCAAACCAGCTTTTTGGAAATTTTGGTCATTCTGCTCTACTTAAAGCAAGTCAAATGTTAAACATCACTAACCTTGCCAAGTTAGTTTAAATCTATGGTATCAACAAACCTCTTAAAAATGTCACAAATGAGAAAGTGCAATTCTAGAAAGAGATTTTAGTAATGAAAAATTAATGTTCTGATGTTGGTAAGTATACAAGTGCCACTTTCTCTAATATAGTTCTAGGAGATGTGCCAACATTGAAATTGTTTTGTGCATTATTTATGAAATTCAATTTATTTGAATAGAACATGATGAAGTTTTTTTGAGTCAATATTGTTTTATCCACACAGGAAACTCAATAACTGAGCCAGGATGAGGAATATAACCATTTAGAAATATCAAATATGCTCCCCAATAAAAAGGTTTTATCTTTATTCCTCTACTTAATCGGATGTTTCCTTCTGCCTTGTGTAAGAACAAAAGAGACAGAATATAAGCATTTAAACTTTAAGATGAATGTCTTGAGTCTTGTTGCTTATTTAGCACATCAGACATGACAAATTTAAATTACAGTGACAGGACATATTATATGTATTCAGTTACCGTCTTCATTCATCCTACTGATAAAAGCACATTAATTCCAGCTATTGGTAAAACCAACTTTGGCCATAAGAATACAGTCTTTAAGCAAAAGTAAACTGAGTCAATTGGGGCATAAGCCACACTTATTTGTCTGAGGGTACTGAATCTTCCTTAGAATCCTAATCTTCAATTTACATATGCCATATAACTTAAAAAACCTATGATCACTTATCTTATTCTAAGCTATAAAATTCACCTTTTATTAATCACTGCATTAAATTGTCTAAGTGATTATTTTCCAAATTCCTTGGGAAATCTACTTAGCTTATTTGCTACTTCATAAACCAGGCCTGCAATTATTGGAGAATGTCCCCGGATTAGAACCTACCTGTTCTCTGACATTTGAAAGGTCCAAGGTATTGTTTAAAGCAGTTTTTGCAGCTTTGTAAGGTTCCCAAGCATCTGCTAGATTAACTGTGATCCCCATGTAAATACTAATTACCTGAAAGAGGAGACATTCATTCAGTATTTTTTAACTTCCTACTCACTTCAAGGTAAGGGGATGGATATGTAAAAAGTTACAGACGACAATACCCGCTCCTTCATGTTTAAACTCCATTCCAACGAAAAATCAAGATTTTCCAAATGTATAGGTAAGTGTTCCTGATTGTTAATTCCCCTTGTTAATAAAGGCCTCTTTATACCTATTAATGTTTCTTTTTGAAATTCTCTATTGTACAATATTAATGTATATTAATGTTTTCTCACCAGTTGTTTTATTGGTTGGCACTTTCCTGGGATATCTTTTTAAAAATCCCTTTCAGTGTGCCAGGGCATTTTTTTAGATGTGTATCTTATAGGTTTCATGTAATTGGATTTTGATCTTTTTTTTTTTTTTTGGTTTTTTTTTTTTGAGATAGTAGTCTTGCTCTGTCGTCAGGTAGAGCAACCTCCATCTCCCAGGTTGAAGTTATTTTCCTGCCTCAGCATCTGGAGTAGCTGGGACTATAGGCACATGCAGCCATGCCCAGCTAATTTTTTATATTTTAGTAGAGACGGAGTTTCACTGTGTTGCCCAGGTTGGTCTTGAACTCCTGAGCTCAGGCAATCTGCCTGTTGCCTTGGCCTCCCAAAGTGTTGGGATTACAGGCGTGAGCCACTGCACCCAGCCTTGGTCTTTTTCAATAGTAAGTATGTCTTTAATTATAGTGTCATGGTCAAAACTTATTTATTAAACTCAGGAACATGAAGCCACACTATCAGTGTTTTCCTTTTGGTTGCTCAACTCCGAGCTCACTAATATGATTCATAGTTGGCCAGGAACCATCACTTGCGAACGTAGGCTGTCCTCATACTACCAATAAATTGAAGGTCCCTCATAAAAGATAGTTAATGTGATTCAAAGCTGATATAGAAGCAGAACAAAATCTGCTACCTACAACTATGATACAATTCACTGAATTTTGTGAAAGCCTCTTTGTGTAAAGAAAACATTTCACATATATTAAGTATGAAGCAAGTTTTATTCCTATAAGAATATTTTTGGCCAGGCATGGTGGCTCACACCTGTAATCCCAGCACTTTGGGAGGCTGAAGCAGGTGGATCACTTGGGGTCAGGAGTTCGAGACCAGGCTGGCCAACATAGTGAAACCCTGTCTCTAATGAAAATACAAAAATTAGCCAGGCATGGTGGTGCACACCTGTAATGTCAGCTACCAGGGAGGCTGAGCCAGGAGAATCACTTGAACCCGGGAGGCAGAGGTTGCAATGAGCTGAGACTGCACCGCTGCACTCCAGCCTGGGTGACAGAGGAAGACTCCGTTTCAAAAAAATATATATTTTAAAATGGAACAATGCTTACAAAGATACAAGCATATCCTTGCAATAATATAAACCTTAACAACTCATCACAGTTAGCTTACAGGTAAAACTTTATTATAAAGTGAAATTCCTATTCACAAAGTGACGACTTAGATGAATTCAGCTAGCTTACATTCAGAAAACAGAAAAGAATAAACAAATCCTTACACAACTTAGTTGTAATCTCAGTAGGTAAAACAAGATAAATTTTAATAAATGGTTTAATTTTGAGAGTATCCATTTTAGAAAAAGACTAATGGGTTCTTCAGGATATCTCCTGACTCATATATTCCTTCATGCTACAATTATAAAATTTTCAATGCACTTAGAGCAACTTTACCTAAGTGATGTTATGTCTCATTATTTACAACATTACAACCTCTGGGTTAAAGGCCAAAAGAATAGGAAATTAGTTCTCTAACACATTTACTGTAGGGGAAAAAAATTAGCAATACTTGCCCAATTATCTGGAAAGTATTTATCCACGATCTCTCTCATTTTTGCTGGATGGGTGTGAAGAATGGAAGGGTCAAAGTAGAGAATCACGTACAGCATGGCAGCTTGGTTTGCCAGGGCCGTGCTGCGATGCTCTGGCAAAGGATATGCTGAGACCTGCAATGTTGAGACGACATCCCAAGAGGGAGCTGTTGGCAATATTTGCGCATAGACATGCCCAAATTAAACTCTGGTTGTAGGACACATTGGTTTCTCCAAAGCCCATCACCTTTCAGGATCTTGGACACTGGAAGCCATTCACAGACTGTGCCATTGCTTGCCAAGGTCTTCCTTCTTATCCCTAACCCCAAAATATTCTCTTCCTTCCAGCCCTTGACTCTACTGCAAATCTAAGTCTTCTCTTAAGAAAAAAAAAAAGGAAAAAAGTCCTATCCCTGTGTCTCCCACCACTTGTCCTTTGTTGTATCTTACCCGTTAGAGACAATTCTTAGAATTGATAGGCTCTACTGGCTGTTGCTATTTTCTCACTTTCTGTTTATTATTCAACTCACTGAAATTTGACCTCCACCATCATCCCAGTGGAATTCCCTAAGGTCGCTCATGACCTCACAACCATCCAATTTGCCAGCTTCTTTTAGGACTCCCACTTAAACTCTCTGAGGAATGAAACCCTCTTCTCTTCTGGTTTCCCAGATACCACTCTGTCTTCTCAATCTCCTTTGCTGAGTCCTCATCTTCTACCTTTTAAATGCAGGTGTTCCTTAAGGGTCCATCCCCTCATGTACTAGAAATCTTGGGCTGCACACAGCACATATTAATTACCTTGAGCTCCCATAAGCAAGGAGAGACACTGTTATAAGGACAGACAAAGCCATGTCACATGAAACCTGCAGGCAGGAACGTGACCAGGCCACAGGCAGGGGCTGGGGCTGGGAACCGAAATGCCTTATTTCTCTCCCTGATGTGTGGGCCCAACTTTTCTCTCCCTCCAGGCTACTGTCCATATACATGGCAGAATGAGGCTGCCTGCAGACTCCCAGTTTTGCATATTGTGGGTAAACTCCAATCCAGAAGCTGGTTCTCAGGCCCAATTCCAAATTACCTGGAGACAGAGAATCTGATCAGCTATGACCAGGGATGGGGGAGGTGTAGGACAGAGAGTGGGGTGGACACACACAACAACCACAATTGAACCCTTGTGCTAATAAATAATAAAGATCATAGGGCAAGGAGAAAATAGAAACACACTGCTTTCAGGAAGACATGGAATAAGAGGCGATTAGGAATAAGACACTCTGAATTCACACAGACCAAATTCAAATTATGGCTCTGCTACTTAGTAATAGGAACTCGAGGAAATTATTTAAGCTCTCCAAGTCTTATTTTTCTCAACAGCAACATAGGGATAATGCCATCTACTTTACAGGGCTGTTGTGAGGAACAGAGAAATGGTATAGGAACAAAACCTCCTTTGTGGCTGGTTTAGACTGAATTCTCAATGAAAGGCAACAATTATTACAGAGACTTGGCATCTGCTGATTTTGAATTGTCCTAAAACAACCAAAAAAAACCCTCTTATTTATACTTAACATATTCACACAAAAAACTAACAAGTTACCTAAAGAACTGCACAGATCAGGTTCATTCTGTGATAAGTGATATCCACAGTTATCACAGGCCTCTTTACTCCCCCACTTTTTTTTTTTTTTGAGACAGAGTTTTGCTCTTGTTGCCCAGGCTGGAGCGCAATGGTGCGATCTCAGCTCAGCAACACCTCCACCTCCCAGGTTCAAGCAATTCTCCTGCCTCCGTCTCCCAAGTAGCTAGGATTGCAGGCATGTGCCACCACACCCAGCTAATTTTGTATTTTTAGTAGAGATAGGGTTTCTGCAAGTTGGTCAGGCTGTTCTTGAACTCTTGACCTCAGGTGATATGCCCGTCTTGGCCTCCCAAAGTGCTGGGATTACAGGTGTTAGTCCCTGCACCTGGCCTCTTTATTCCCTAATAATAATTTTTACAAATATTTAAAAATATAACATCTAAAATTATGTTTTCTTCAGAACAATGAAGTCAAATGGTAATTTTCTTTGGTGTTGTTTAAAGGAAGTGAATAATACTACACATACTGGCAAGGGGAGTGGGACAATTTTCAAATGCTGCTTGATCTTTACAGCCTTGCTCAGGTTGCCTCCTTTCCTGGACTCTTCTTACCTTCCTTTTGTCACCTGTTGTGGCCTTGCTGTTACTCCTGCATGCTCTGGTGGCACCCTTTGGTCCCCTAAGATAACACCCATCCTGCTTTACTATAATCTTGTTATCTGTCCTTCCTAAGCTACAAGCTCAGTATGAGTAGGAATGTGGCCAGGCTTCTTCGGTGATGGGTCCCCAGCACCTAGCATGTGAATGGGCACATATCACACATTCAACAACTACTTCTTGAATGAATGACTAAAATAATGCATCTTCTTCCTAATAACTCAAATCCCATCTTCTCCCTGAAATCTCTAATTCTGCCAAAATTAGTAACCCTCTTTCCTTTATCATCCTGGAGCACAACTCAAAAGGTTTTAAAAAGCTTCTAGGTGCTTTCACTCTTTTGGAAAAGGAAGGAAGGAAAGGAGTAATTAAAGAGGGAAGTGAAATCAGTCTGTTAAACTGTCTTAATAGGTCTTAACAGATTTAATTCCCACCTGGTTGTAAATATCATCAGATCTCAGTCGACCAATAACCATACTGATGAAGGATTCGTTGATAGGCACTCTCTGGAAATAGCTCTCGGGATAATTGGGTGGTCTTTTGGCACCTGGTTGGCCAGAATAACCTGTACTTCGAAGCAGCTTACAAATATCATCCATATTTGAATCAGCAGAAGATCGTGCAGCACTGAGTCATATTCACAATGGGAAACAAAGGTCCAAACCACACATATTAGAAACTGAAAAGTCCAACAAAGGAGAAGAATTCCATTCTACTTTGACTCAATACAGTTTTAGATATGACCATAAATCCATCTATATCCTCAAGATTCAAAATTGTGTGTGTGTGTGTGTGTGTGTGTGTACGTATATATATATACACGTACACACACACACGTATATATACGTATGAGTGCAGTGGCGTGATCTTGGCTCACTGCAACCTCTGCCTCCAGGTTAAGGCAATTCTCCTGCCTCGGCCTCCTGAGTAGCTGGGATTACAGGCAACTGCCACCATGCCTGGCTAATTTTTGTATTTTAGTAGAGATGGGGTTTCACCATGTTGGCTAGGCTGGTCTTGAACACCTGACCTCAACTGATCCGCCCACCTTGGCCTTCCAAAGTGCTGGGATTACAGGTGTGAGCCACTGTGCCTGGCCTCAAAATTATAGTTTTGAAAGCCTGTTTAGAAGATGGGTATTCATACTATGTAAAGGTCCATAATCCCTTTTCCAAAACCTTTGGGACTGGATTTGTTTCAGAATATAGCATTTTTCAAATATAAGAAAGTAATATGGCACATAGATCATATACAATATATATTATACACAATATAACACTCCAGCAGGGTCTGAATTGGCATCCCATGATCAACATAGGTGAATAATTCTGGAGGAAAATTTATAAATACTTACAAAAGTGAGATAAGTGAAGACTAAATATAACCTCACATCTGTTCCAGGCAAGTTTTGAATCCAAATGATTTCAGGTTAGATCAGGTTTTGCTGCCAAATGAATTACTACGTATATGTACATGTGTGTTGTGTATGTACTTGTGAATATATATTTTTTCACAGCTCTTTGGACTTGAAAATCATGGATAAAGAAGGTGAACCTGACATTTTACAAATTAATAAAAAATATTATGTCAATTCAAACTGAAATATATACTAACTTTTTTCTTGGCAAGCTGTTCCTTCTATAGAGATCGAATAAATATGTCTGTGATTTTCAGGGTGGAATAGTAAGCTCCAAAAGAAATGAACTAGATTCGAAGAATATGAGACTTGGAGATGATCTCCTATTTGCTGTAAGAATCTCTTTTGCCACGACTGTGACTTGGAAGTGTTCAGTGTCACTTCAATAATGAATGCTCACGGGGCCGGGCACGGTGGCTCATGCCTGTAATCCCAGCACTTTGGGAGGCCGAGGCCAAGAGATCGAGACCATCCTGGTCAACATGGTGAAACCCCGTCTCTACTAAAAATACAAAAAATTAGCTGGGCATGGTGGGGCGTGCTTGTAATCCCAGCTACTCAGGAGGCTGAGGCAGGAGAATTGCCTGAACCCAGGAGGCGGAGGTTGCAGTGAGCCGAGATCCCGCCATTGCACTCCAGCCTGGGTAACAAGGGCAAAACTCTGTCTCAAAAAAAAAAAAAAAAAAAAAAAGAATGCTCACATTCTAATGAATTAGATGTTGTAAAGCCGTATTTTCAAACTGGGCTTGATAAGCCAATATTTTTTTGTTGTTCTTTATACTATTTATAGTTTTTGTTTTTTCAAGTACTCTCAGAAATATAGGAAAGGCCATTCAAATCTCATTTTCAAAATCATGGGTGTTAAAACAGCTTGGTCAGCCAGGTGCAGTGGCTCATGGCTGTAATCCCAGCACTTTGGGAGGCCGAGGTGGGCGGATCATGAGGTCAAGAGATCAAGACCAGCCTGGCCAACATGGTGAAACCCCATCTCTACTAAAAATACAAAAATTAGCTGGGTGTGGTGGCCTGCGCCTGTAGTCCCAGCTACTCGGAAGGCTGAGGCAGGAGAATCACTTGAACCCGGGAGTGGGAGGTTGCAGTCAGCTGAGATCGTGCCACTGTACTCCAGCCTGGCAACAGAGCAAGACTCCGTCTCAATAAAAGAAATATAGCTTGGTCAAACTGACATGAATGAACACAGATAGAAAACTCCCTTCGAATACTGATACAGCTGAAAGGAAAAGTCTAGCTGAGGAGCCTAAGATTAATTTCCTGCTGAGGACACAGTAGTAACTGGTATTGCAAAAGTATAATGTCCCCAAAGAACCCCTTCTCCTTGAGAGTCTTGCCTGTTTGTCCTAATTTTTAAGTTTGAAAAGGTTAATTCTACTCCTTCCATCTTTAGCTCAAGCTCCTAATTGACTCCTTCTTACTGAATCTTTGCTGAATCTTTCTTCTCTGAATCTTCACTATTTCCAACACTGACCTGGTATTCCATTTTTAGCTCATTCCACAAATTGAAAACCTGTGTGTTAGATACTAAAATTAAAAAGCTGGTCAAGGTGGCTCCTGGTTTCAAAAACTTACTCCTGAAGAATCACAGTTCTGTTTAGATAGACACAACAAATAATCGTGGATATGTGCTGTTGCTTGATTTGGTTTTGTTTCTATGCAAATATTTGAGAAAATTCATTTTCAACCTGCCTCTGAATGACAACTTTTCAAAGTCATCAAGCTGAAAATGACAACAGAAGGCACACTGATTCCCTTATATCTGCCAAGGAGTTTCTAGCTGCTTTTACTCAAAAACAAAAACAAAAACAGAAACAACCTTCATTAGATTTTTAAGACTCTTTGAAATTTAGCCTCAAAGTAAAGAAAGTTAAAAATATAGACTCCTTTTTAAAAACTGTATTTATTCTTAGGGACAGTATAATCCATACCTATAATAATATATAATATATAGAATATTTTATATGCAATATATAGATTTTACAATCTATATTATGAAATATAACAGGGCATAATTGTTATATTCCTAAAATATGCTCAGAAGAGATAAGAATCTTACATTTTTTTTTTTTTTTGAGACAGAGTCTTGCTCTGTCGCCCAGGCTAGAGAGTGCAGTGGTGTGATCTCGGCTCACTGCAACCTCCACCTCCCAGGTTCAAGCAATTCTCCTGCCTCAGCCTCCCCAGTAGGTGGGATTACAGGCACCCACCACCACACCCGGCTGATTTTTGTAGTTTTGGTAGAAACAGGGATTCACCATGTTGGCTAGGCTGGTCTCGAACTCCTGACCTCAGACGATCTGCCTGCCTCAGCCTCCCAAAGTGTTGGGATTATGGACAGGAGCCACCACACCTGGCCGAACTGTATGAGACAAAGTCTCACTCTGTTGCCAGGCGCCAGACTGGAGTACAGTGGCGCGATCTTGGCTCACTGAAACGTCTGCCTCCCGGGTTCAAGAAATTCTCCTGCCTCAGTCTCCCGAGTAGCTGGTACTACAGGCGCACGCCACCACACCCAGCTAATTTTTGTATGTTAGTACAAAAAAACCATGTTGGCCAGGATGGTCTCAATCTTTTGACCTCGTGATCTGTCCACCTCAGCCTCCCAAAGTGCTGGCCACCGTGCCTGGCTGGAATCGTGTACTTTCTTACCCATTTTTTTATTATTGCTGTTCACAGTAGAAAGAGTATGGGAACATAAACTGCATTTTACCAACAGCAGTGTTTTGGAAGTACAGTCCTAGCCCAGGAATACCTGTATCGGTAGTAAGAAACCAGCATCCTCTCTCTGACTTCTCCTTCAATCTTTTGGTCAATGACCAGTAGCATAACTCCATATAAGTATAGTGCTTCACACTAGGAAGAGAAGAGGACAAAAGCCAAAATCACAGGATTATACATTCTTAGGGAGTAAAGTTGGTAATCATTAAAAATATCACATTTCTCCAAAAAGTTGTAGATTTCAAGGAAAAGGTAGGTTTCCTCCAAAGAGCTCTTACCTTCTTGCAAAATGGGCCTTGAAGTTTATGTGAAATAGAGTTTAATTCCCAGTGATGATCTTTCAGCTGGCCTATTTTGGCTCTTTTGCTTGGGACACCAAAATAGTATCCCAATATTGTGAACACCTCTTCATCATAAAGTCATTCACTTATTTAATAAGCATTTCTTAAATGGTCAGTATGTACTGGGCACCAGGACAGATGCCTGGGATGCAAAAAGTAAGTAAGACAGAATTCTTACAACGAGGAAGCTCATAACTTCCACATAACTTTTAATCGTTTTAAATTCTGTTCAAAGTCCATGTTCTAAACTCAGATATGGACCTGCCAGTTCGAAGATAATTAAAAGCTCATTTCACTTCTCTTTAAAGAATGGTATTTCTTATGTATTTGTGACTTAAAGGGAAAAAAAAGTGGTACTAAGTTTGATATTCTTGAGTTTCATTTTAAATAATCACTATTACTTACCAGAAGTTGTTTTCCATCTTCATTGAGAAGCACAGTTTCTAAGGTTTGCTGGATATAAACCCCTTCATTGAGATCATCTAGATATCTAGAAATAAAACCCCAGAGCAAGCTATTAATTTATAATAGAAACTTTAACTTAATTTTTAAAGAAGGAAAGATTTTTAAAAGATAAGGCAGGCTACTAGGCATTCTGGCCTTTAACTAGTTCATGGTCCTTCATGTTCTGAAGAATGGAGTCTTATAAACTGATTTAGGGCCACAGTTTGACATTTATGGCTGTTACAAGTAACACAAATATTCCCTAGTCCTGATTTATGAATTACAAGTATCTAGGAGTAAAGGCAGAAAAACATGGAATATCTATCTAGTTTAAAAGTTAATGAGTAATGAATTCTTAAGAAATACAGAAGAGACAGAAAGTTAATGATAAAAATAAGTTCTTTCTCCCAATTTTCACGTATAATACACTAGAATATGATAATAAATGACAGGATTGGAAGCTCTACGACTTAGCATAAACTAAGTATATTATGATACCTCACAAGAGAAGGACATTACAGTAAAACTTTAAAATTCTTAAGATGACCAGTGCCACAGGAAGAAAAAGACAACTATATACAGTATAAACTAGGAAATTTTATAGTAACTCAGAGAGATTTATATGTTGTTGCGTGTCCTGTTCCCTCTCCACTATTTACTACCAGAATAAGCTATTACTAAGTTGATCAGTACCTGTTTAAGTCTACAATATATTTATGCACACTTTGAAATGCTAAATAAAATCTGGTCACAATTTCTATGTTGTTTTCACGAAATTCTTCATCTAAATCCTGTAGCTCTGGTTTAGCGTCCAGTTTGCTTTCCCATAATTCTGGACCCTAAGGAAAAAAAAAACACATGTATATGAATGTCAGTAAAAGCATACTTGTTGGTGACAATTTCTACAGAGTCTTCTAAAAATTTGTTCTTATATTCTTAAATATCTCAAACTTAAAGCAGAGCAACAGAAAGCAATGAAGATAACAGAAGCCTAGATATAAAATCCCTTTGAGAAAAATGAATTTGAATTGCAACCAAGAGTAGCATGCTTTGAGTATGGGGCCCTTCAATGTGAAATATCAAAGTTATCTTTTAAAAATACAATTATATTGTGTTAGGGCTTTCACATAATATCTTCAACTTACTTTCAAGTTAGTAGCTGTTATTAAATTTAGTCCAAACGTTTTCTCTTTAGCTTTTTCCATAATTACCTAACCTTACAGAGTTTCATGGTTCCCAGAGAAAATATGCTTTTACAGAAAAGACAACAATAAAAATGCCAAAGGAAGATTACCTTAAAATAGCTGAAATCAAATATGATATCTCCATATTTCTGTTGATCAGCTCTGTCTTTTAACCTGAACACAGCAGGAATAAACTCAGAGAGCCTCAAAAGTTCAGCAATGATGGCATTACCACAGGAAACAATCCTTAGGATTGCTTGGCCGCAGAGGTTGTTCTCGGCTAGAAAGTCCACCATTGTGAGCAGGACTGACTACTCCGTGCCTGGACACTGGGAATGATTAACTGGCCTCAGAGCTGGTATCTGTAGATTATTAGATGAAACCAGGTGTGCAGAGAGATTGGCTGCTCCATTAAATAATCTGTAACCAAAAAAAAAAGTATGAAAATCTCAGTTTATTCCTGCAGAAGGTTTGCTCAGTTGTGTCAAAGAAGAAGAAAAAAAAAAGAAAATCTCAATTTAAGGATGCACATGTGTACACATACGAAACACATAGTATTTTTTTCCAAAACTCACTAAAAAAATTGTAAGAAATAATGAGTTCCTTTATGGGGGAAAGGGTATTTATCCTTCACTCTTCATATTTGCCATGTGGAGGTACTTTGCTAGATTAACATTCTTGGCCTCTTCTTCAACATGTTAGTCACTTCTCGTCTTGAGAAAAAGGTATGATATAGCTCATCGCTGAGCTAGGAAGAAGGAACCCCTGGGCATGTGTGGCTTCAATGTACCCCACTGCTATCTAATCTCAGAAGTGGTATCTTTCATTTCTATCCTATTTCCTCTTTTCTTTTTTTTTTTTTTTTTCCTTGAGATGGAGTCTCACTCTGTCACCCAGGTTGGAGTGAGTGGTGGGATCTCAGTTCAGTGCAACCTCTGCCTCCTGGTTCATGGAATTCTCCTGCCTCAGCCTTCCCAAGTAGCTGGGATTACAGGTGCGTGCCACCACACCTGGCTAATTTTTGTATTTTTAGTAGAGACAGGGTTTCACCATGTTGGCTAGGCTGGTCTCGAACTCCTAACCTCAGGTGATCCTCCTGCCTCAGCCTCCCAAAACGCTGGGATTACAAGAATGAGCCACCACACCTGGCCCTATTCTCTCCTTTAGGAGAGAGTCAGTAAGTCAGCTTACACTCAAGAGAAGGAGCCTACACAGGACATGAATACCAGGAGCCAGAGATCATTAGGGACTGTTTTAGAAGCTGCTAACCATCTGATATACCCAGATATCCATACTGCTTGCTCTCTCATTTCCTTCTGACTTCTGCCCAAGGTGCTCTATGGAAACGAGTACATGCTCCATCCCTTATTATGCTTTTTCTTCAGAGCACTTATCACAACATGATATATAGAGCTCACTTTCATAAATTTCAAGATACATTTGTAATCAAAACTTTTTCTTCTCCTTTTTATGAAATGTTTTTCCATACTTTAGAATCACTCTAGCATTTTTCAGATGTGAACTATTCTTGATAGCAAGAATCTCCTATACTTGGCATGTGAGAAAACCTTTTTGTTTTTGAGACCGGGTTTCACTCTCGCCCAGGCAGGAGTACAGTGGCATGATCAGAGCTCACCGCAGCCTCAACCTCCAGGGCTCAAGCAATCCTCCCACCCTCAGCCTCCCTTGTCAGTGGGACTACAGACATGCACCACCATACCTGGCTAACATTTCTTTTGATTTTTAGTAGAGATGAGTTCTCACTATTGTTGCCCAGACTGGTCTTGAATTCCTGAGCTCAAGCAGTCCTCCTACCCTGGTCTTCCAAAGTGCTGGGATTAAAGGTGTGGGCCACTGCTGCCAGGCCTAAAGGCATTTCTAAAGAATGTTCCCTCACCTACTTCTGGTGGTTTTTAGGACACAGCTCTCTTTTTCCAAAGGTAAGACAAATGGCACAATTCCTATAAGGCAACTGTAATAATCAGCAGAAGCAGACAGCTGAAAAGAAAGAGATTGGACAAAAATGCAGCAGTACGATACAGAAATATCTACATGGACATTATTAAACAGAAGCAGTGACTATTGCACAGCATTAGAGAAAATGAAATATCACAATAACAGCATCAGCGTGCTGTTTAAATTGACAACTTGTACTGTTAGTCCTCAAAACAATCTCAGCACTATGGCAAACTACCCGAAGACTTATTTGCCCAAAACAATATCATATTTTAAAAATTTATCATGATTCTGTGGGTTAGGAATTGGGAAAAGGGACAGAGGGCTTGGCTGGTTGCTGTAGCTGAATGCTTACATGCCTAGCACTTCAACTAGGAAGACTTCAAGAGCTGAGTGCTGAGTGGACCTGGTCAACCCAGATCACACGTCAGCACTTCAGTTTTTGCTGTCTGCTGGCTTTCTTCATGCTCTTCTGTGTCAGGACTTTTCCTTCTTAGCATGGTCTTTCCTCTTTGTAACTCCTGTGATCTCTCTAGCAGGATTCCCAGACATCTTACATGGCAGCTTGGGACACCCAAAGAGAGCCAAAGGAGATATTGCCAGACCTTCTCAAGGCTTTGGCCTAGAATTGATAGAGTTACTTCTACAGTATTCTTTGGGTTGAAGGAAGGAAGACACAAGCTGTTAGGAGCTGAGTTGGGTCCCCCAGAATTTCTGTGTTGAATTCCTAACACTTAGTACCTCAGAACATGACTACATTTGGAGACAGGGTTTTTAAGGAGGTGATTAAGTTAAAATGAAGTCACTAGGATGGGCCCTAATCCAATATAACTGGAATCTTTGTAAGAAGCGGAAATCTGGACACAGAAATATACAAAGGAGGGCCAGCCTTGGTAGCTCATGTCTACAATTGTGGCACATTGGGAGGCTGGAATGGGAGGATCACTTGAGCCCAGGAGTTTGAGACTGCCCTGGACAACATAGTGAGACCCCATCTCTATAAAAAGAAAGGAACAATGGGAAGGCCATGTGAAGACACAGAAAGAAAATAGCCTGCTACAAGCCAATGAGAGAAGCCTGAGAAGAAAACAGTCTACCAACACCTTGATCTTGTTTAAGTCACCCTGTCTGTGGTGCTTTGTTATGGCAGCCAAGCAAACTAATAAACAAACTCAATCCAGACTCAGTGAAAGGGAAAATAAGGTTCACCCCTTCACCTAAGGAGCTCTATGCACTGACTTAACAGCAGGGAATTGTTGGGAGCCATCTTCGGAAACCAGTTACCATATTATTATAATCAGATTGCCTTCCTAGCCCTGAGAACTAAGAAAAATGATTGTTGCAAGGGAAGGCATGCAGCTACTCAGGAGGCTGAGGCAGAATTCCATGAACCAGGAAGCAGAGGCTGCAGTGAACTCAGATTGCACCACTGCACTCCAACCTGGATGACAGAGTGAGACTCCATCTCAAGGAAAAAAAAAAAAAAAAAAGGAAAAGAAGAGGAAGTAGAACAGAAATGAAAGATACCACGTCTGAGATTAGATAGCAAAAAGACTAACTTCTGGCTTGGTCACCCTCTCTAGCTTGCTAGATTAGGGGAAGCAAGATACTATGATGTGAAAGAACCCTGTGGAGGAGCTCATATGACGAAGAACTGGGGCTTGCCAAAAACCACCTGAGTGAACTTGAAAGTAGATCTCTATAATCCCAGTACAGCCTTCAGATAAGACCATAGCCCCTTGTTCCAAGTTTGACTGCAAAGTTCTAAAAGCCCCAGAGCCAAAGGCAGCCAGCTAAGCCCAAAGAGACTCCTGACCACAGGTACTATAAAGTTTATTGTCTAGGTTTTGGCATAGTTTATTATGCAGCAATAGATAAGGATCCTGAGAATGGCATTGCAAGCAGAGGTTACAAGTAAGTGCAAAGGCCCCAGGGCAGGAATGTTCTAGATGTACTAAGGAATAGCAAGCTGACTAAAGCAGAGTCAGCTAGGGGCAGAAACAGAAGAAGTAGACTGGATTGGATCTGAGAGCCAAGAAGCCACTACAGCTGTCTAGAACGCTCACGAAGGTATCCGCTAATATACATTAAGGCATACATTATTAACAAGTTCTTTTAGTTTCCTCTGTGATGCTTGCTTGTTAAACCACAACAGGCTGAATTTCAGAAAATTTCATTTTCTGCATGGATATGGTCTGGCTCGGGAAAGGAGAGAGGGAAAGGGGAAATAATGGACAATGGGCAAAACAGTCACCTACTAAAGCCCTCTGAAGACCACCAAAGTAACCCAGGTCTAAGTAGATGAAACTTTACACCAGGGGTGTCCAATCTTTCAGCTTTCCTGGGCCATATTGCAAGAAGAATTGTCTTGAGCCACACATAAAATAAACTAATACCGACAATAGCTGGTGATCTTTTAAAAAATTGCAAAAAAACTCAAAATGTGTTAGGAAAATTTACAAATTTGTCTTGGGCCACATTCAATGCCATCCTGGGCCGCATGTGGCCTGCAGGCCTTGGTTTGGAAACCCTTTATCTAGACTCATAAAGAGGAGGGGAAGCTATGATGAACAGGTCCAACGGCTACCAAATTTTGAATACCATGACAGGACAACAGTGTCCCTGGGAAAAACATCTTACAGCAAAGTAACACTACCTGCCTTTGACTCTACTCTCTCCCAACATACAGAAGGACAGACAGATTCAGCACCTGCATGCACACATTCAGGGAAGCTTCAGTCTGGGATAATGACAGAAATCAAGACCTTTATATGTGAATCTCTTATTTTAATCCTTAGGCCCTTACTCTAGAATTATACTGTAGACGACTTTAAAGGAACATGAGAAGGGTAATAATAATCAAATATGTTTGGCAATAGTAAAACAAATATTATGGGTCTTTATTACTTAGGTGAATCGCCTTTCTAAAATTCTATATATAAACTTTATATTAAATTTTTTAATGCCAAATCAAAATATGAATTATATTTAACATACTTTTACTGAAATGAACTCACTGCTTGTAATCTCTTTTGCCCCATGAAGAGCACTTGTGTTTTCTATTTCTAATAATGCAAGTATCTCCTGCTAAGTTTTTGAAGATGGAAGGAGTTAAAACGAGATTAACTGAAAGAAGGAAATCACTTAGTTACATTTTATGTGCTAGACCTCCTAACCTGGACTAGTTATATTTTCCATGTAACAAATGGAATTTCCATAATTTGCACAAATATAATTGGCTAGAGTATTTGGTAAATAGCCCTCTGTTGGTTGAAGTACTGGTGGTGAAGAACAGAATCTGAGAATCATCATTAAAAATGCCTGGCCAGGAGCAGTGGCTCACACCTGTAATCCCAGCACTTTGGGAGGCCAAGGTGGGCAGATCACATCAGGAGATTGAGACCATCCTGGCCAACATGGTGAAACCCCATCTCTACTAAAAATATAAAAATTAGCTGGGCGTGGTGTCGCATGCTTATAGTCCCAGCTACTCGGAAGGCTGAGGCAGGAGAATCCCTTGAACCCAGAGGCAGAGGTTGCAGTGAGCCGAGATCATGCCACTGCTTTCCAGCCTGGTGGCAGAGCAAGATTCCATCTCAAAAAAAAAAAAAAAAAAAGCCTAAGCAAGTTGTAGCTACCTAGGAAGTAGGTGGATAGCTTTACATAGTGTTATGACAAAGTTAAGTCTTCAAAAACCACTTTAGTATTAGGTCCAAATAAACACTGTAGAAGAAGCAATGCTAAATTATCCTTTCAGAGGTTCTCTTGATGCTAGGGATTAAGAAAACTCTGAACGATCAGTTTTCTCAATACCATCGGCATCAAATGGAACCAGAGATCCCACTACATTTTCTTTTAAAAGTTAGAGTGCTGGTAACTTCATTTTTAAGAATTTGGCATGAAACTGTGATTTTCAGTTTGGGAGGTAATCCTAATCAAAAGACATGCTTTCGAGAATGAAGCATGCCATCATTACACCAATTACTCAGAGTACAGAACAATGTTTCTTAAGGAAATCCAACTGTCGTGGGAAAACACTGTTTACCCTATTCAGAGGATAAAAGGCAGTTCTTATTTTTAAGCCTTTCGCAAAACCTCAGTTCCATAAAGGAAGCACTAATCTCCATAAATCCATTATCACAAACAAAATATAATGGTTGTTGACCAAGATAAATGCAAGCTGCAAAAGTTTTCCAGAAAAGTTCTGAAATGAGGCTGATCCTGAAATCCTGGGAAAGGCAGATGTAGGACAATTAGGGAAGGTGTCCCTTGTTGTGCACAAAGACAGTAAGAAAAACTTCTCGCTCACTACCTCTTACTGATGTTTGAGGGAGTTCCACGCACTTGCAATCAGGAGACGCAGTTGCATGGCTCTGTGACTTTTTTCTTTTTCCTGTCCGATCATAGAGTAATCAGGACCCTGGGAACATTTTTTCCCCCCAAAATGAAAAGGATTTTGGCATGAGTCTGTCACAGGTGAAGGCATTAAGGCGCAGCAAACAGCAATGACTTGCTCAAACTCATAGCCCATGGCATAACTAGAATGCAAATCTGGGCCGTCAGACTGTAAAAGTCCTCACTAGCCTTTCAGTTTTCTCAATAGCAAATAGAGAAATAACGACGGTATCCACACAGCAGTGTTCCTGGAAACTTGGGAGGGTGAGATTCGGACCAAGCAGCGGAACGGCGCTTCCTAAAGCGAGGAAGGGGTGTGCAAAATGATTTCCCCCAAGCGGAGACGAAGAGCTGGACTGCAGCCCCCGCCCCAGAAGACCCCTAAGCCCTCCATCCCAAGTCTCCCATCCAGGCTGCACGCGACGCTGCAAGCCTCCCCGTGGCTAGCGCGGCCCAGCGGGGAGGGGAAGGGGGCAGTGCAAAAACGGGGCGCGCGCACTGCATCCCCACTCACCTGTCAACAGGGCCGCGCCAGCGGCGCACGCGCAGGGCAGGCGGTCGCGCGCGGAGTCCGCACCTGGGTCCCACCCCTCCCTCACGGTGACGGTCCTCTTCTATCCACAGTCCCCGACCAGGACCGGGTTCGAGTACCGCTTCCGTCCCCTGACGCCCAAGGCTGTCACATGACCGAAGCGGCGGGGAGCAGGGAGGGGCGTCATGTGATCACTCGCCGGCGACGGCTGATGACGCAAGAGCCCGCGCTCACTTTGCAGCGATAGGCGAAGGGGGATGAGGAAAGGAGGTGGGTCCAGGTGGGGGAAGTTGGTGTGGCACCAGACGGAGACAGCTCAGGCGGCCAGGTAGGGCAGAAGCGGGGGACAGTGTTGGGGAGGGTGGCGGGAGTTGTCCCCTCCCTCAGGGGCGCTCCACGGGGACCCAGAGCCGGGAGTCCGTCGACCTGGATTATGGTTGTGGCACTTCTCACTCCACAATAGTGAGTCTGGGACAGTTTACCCTCCTGTCCGAGACGCCATCTCCATTCTTTAGCCCCAGGTGTGGAGGATAGTGGCAAAACCACGGATTTTTGATCCAAATAGATCTGGTTTGAACTGACTTTAAAAGCAAGGCCACGGGCAGGTCATTTGAATAAACTCTCTGGACCTCTTTCCTCTTCGCTTATGTACATTGCACTGAGAATTGGCGAGAAGGAGAATGAAGTGCCGGGACACCGGTTTATGGCATTCTAGGTGACCTAGAATTGATGATGTCTGTTATTTTTGTAACTTGCCAAATCTTTATTGATCCCCCATTTTGTGTGAGAAACTGCTTTATATGCAATAGAATATATCAGGGTTCTAGTTTTAAGGAGTTCTCAGAATAAAGGAGCTGCAGACGTGAGCAAATAGCTGTGATGAGTTTCATAATAAGAGTATGTTGTGTGTATGTGCATGTGATATGGATAATGGTAGCATGGGGGAAGGAACAGGCGATTGTACAAGAGAAGGATTCAGACAGAGGGGTATATCCTTGCATGTTGAAAAAGGAGAGGCAGCTCTTGCTGACTTGTACCAGGCTCCCACGGATTTAAAGGAAGTCAGCATATTGTCTATAAATAACACGCAGAGAAAAAAACTCAGGAAATGCACAACCTTGTTCTAAACTTTCTTGGAGATCATAGGTACCGGGAAGAAAAGATCAGTGTTATTAGCTGGGGAGGCATCCAAGAGAGATTGATTTAAACCAGTTATTCTCACCTGACGCACTATTGACATTTTAGGCTAGATTCTTTTTTGCTGTGGGGCTGTGATGAGGTCTGTCCTGTGTATAGTAGGATTTTAAAGAGCATCTCTGGCCTCTGCTTACTAGATGCCAACCACAGTGTCTACAGATATTGCTAAATGTCCCTTGAGAGAAGGGTAAAAATCTTTCTTGGTTGAGAACCACTTAAACCAAGCGATGAAAGACGATGTCTTAGTCAATTTGGGCTTCTATAACAGAATGCCATAAACTAGGTAGCTTATGAACAACAGAAATTTATTTCTCGCAATTCTGGAGGCTGGAAAGTACAAGGTGCCAGCAGATTTGGTGTCTGGTGAGGGCCTGTTTCCTGGTTCATAGGTGGCTTCTGGCTGTGTCCTGACATGGTGGGATGGCAAAGCAGCTCTCTGGAGCATCTTTTAAAAGGGCACTAATTTTACTCGTGAAGGTGGGTTGGATCACCTCCCAAAAAAGCCCCAGCTCCTAATACTATCACCTTGGGAGTTAGGATTTCAACATACAAATTTTGGGTGACACAACATTAAGACTTTAGCAAATGGGTAAGGTGTGGGCAGATGGAAAACTGAAAAGAGGGCCAGGCATGGTGGTTCATGCCTGTAATCCCAGCACTTTGGGAGGCTGAGGTGAGCTAATCAAGACCAGCCTGGTCAACATAGCAAAACCCCGTCTCTACTAAAAATACAAAAAAAAAAATTAACCAGCATGTCCTGGTGCACACCTGTAATCCCAGCTACTTGAGAGGCAGAGGCAGGAGAATCCCTTGAACCCAGGAAGTGGAGGTTGTGGTGAGCTGAGATGAGGCCATTGCACTCCAGCTTGGGTGACAGAGCAAGACTGCCTGAAAAAAAAAAAAGAAAAGAAAATTGAAGAGAAGGTTTTCTCACAGTGGGAGCAGGATGAACAAAGTCCTTTTTTTCCTTTTTGGAGACAGCGTCTCACCGTTGCCCAGGCTAGAGTGCGGTAGCGTGATCATAGTTCACTGCAGCCTCGGACTCCTGGGCTCTAGGAGTTCTCTCACCTCAGCCTCCCAAGAAGTTAGGACAACAGGTACAGGTCACCATGTCTGTGTAAGTTTAAATATTTTTTTTGTAGAGATGGGGTCTCTCTGTGTTGCCCAGGCTGGTTTTGAACTCCTGCCCTCAAGCAATCTCCCTGCCTTGCCCTCTCAAAGTGCTGGGATTATAGGCATGAGCCATCATGCCCAGCCCGAACAAAGTCTGGAGCTAGGATTAAGACTGTTGGGTATGAATGGGAGAATGAAAAGAGATCTGTGCATTTGACTGAGGCAGACAGTTTATTCATTTTGACTATTTTCAGAGGACTAGCTGTGAAGCACAGCGAACATCTTTTAAGATAATTACTAACAAAGTAGAGTGACTGCCGAAGACTATAATTATATTAAAGAAAGTGCTGTTAGAGTCAGAGAAGGGAGTTGTCTTTGCCTTGTACTTAGCTGTATTTATTGGGAGAAAATGAGAAAAGTATGTCCATTCAATCTTTCTGCACCATCCATTGTCTTTGCTTCTCAATCCAACCTCAGTCTTAATCTTTTCCCTGCTCCAGAATTACAAAAGAGCAGAATCATTTTTTCCTTGGTCCTCTGCAAGAGTGAAGTTTCACTCAAGTAATGTGAGTTTTGCATTCAAGCAAATAGTGACAGCCACCGTTTGGTAGATACTTTCCATTTATACTGAATTGCATTAATCTTTGTAGATATTGCGTCTTTGTTCAGGCTACCATAACAGAATATCATAGATTGGATGGATTAAACAACAGCAATTTATTTCTTACAGTTCTGGAGGCCAGAAATTCAAGATCAGGTTGCCAGCATAGTTGAATTCTGGTGAGGACTTTCTTCTTGGCTTGTAGATGGCTGTCCTCTTTCTGTGTCTTCATGTGGTGGGGAGAGAGAGAGCGAGCAATCCCTGGCATCTCTTCCTTTTCTTTTCTTTTTTTTTTTCCAAGGCAGGGTCTCGCTCTGCTGCCCAGGCTGGAGTGCAGTGGCGTGATCATGGCTCACTGCGGCTTCAACCTCCTGGCTCAAGCAGTCCTATCACATCTCCTCCTAAGGAGCTATGACTACAGGCCCGCACCACCACACCGAGCTGACGTTTTATTTTCAGTAAAGACAGCGTTTCACTTTGTTGCCCAGGCTGGTCTTGAACTTCTGGGCTCAAGCCATCCCCACATTGGCCTCTCAAAATGCTGGGATTGTAGGCATGAGCCACCTTGTCCAGCCTAACTAACCAGATGTTACGTAATTAGTACACATGTGCCTAGTGCTTATCATATTGGACAGTGCAGACTGCAGAACATTTTCATCACAGAAAGTCCTATTGGACAGTGCTGCTCTAGTCAATTTAGACTTACACTAGAATCAAGACTTACTTGAAAACTGAATACTTTTGCCAAGCATGGTAGCTCACACCTGTAATCCTAGCACTTTGGGAGGCCGAGGCGGGTGGATCATTTGTGGTCAGGAGTTCAAGACCAGCCTGGCCAACATGGTAAAACCCCGTCTCTACTAAAAATACAAAAATTAGCTGGGTGTGGTGATGGGTGCCTGTAATCCCAGCTACTGGGGAGGCTGAGGCAGAAGAATTGCTTGAACCTGGGAGGCAGAGGTTGCAGTGAGCCAAGATCACACCATTGCCACTGCAACCTGAAGGACAAGAGCGAAACTCCATCTCAAAAAAAGAAAAGAAAAGAAAACTGAATACTTGAATTATATCATTTGGTCCTTGCAGGTATATGGTTTTTGATTAACAGATAGTCCTGTAACAGATAAACCCCACAAATCTAAATGGCTTTGCCCAGTTGAAGTTTCTTTCATGCATGGAGCCTTATAGGTGTGTAGTTTTCCTGCAAGCAGTGATATAGGGCCCTAGGCTCCTTCATCTAGTAATTCTCCATTGTCAGTATGTAGCTTTACTTAGGTCACTGTGTTTGTCTGCAACAAGCTATCAAATGGGAAAGTGTGGGTTTTCGCAAATGAGGCCTGGAAATGGCTCACATTTTATTGCCTGGGGTGCAGTCATGGGCCACATCTAACTTCAAGGAAGGCTGCAAAATGTGGTACATGTATAAGTATATGACTAGGTTGAAGAGGAAATGGGTTTGGTAGGCACCTAACCAGTATTTGTTACAAGTGTTTGGCCCTTAGCCTGCCCTGAGAAATAGTCTCAAGAAACAGTCCTGCGCGGTGGCTCAAGCCTGTAATCCCAGCATTTTGGGAGGCCAAGGCGGGTGGATCACGAGGTCAAGAGATCGAGACCATCCTGGTCAACATGGTGAAACCCCGTCTCTACTAAAAATACAAAAAATTAGCTGGGCATGGTGGTGTGTGCCTGTAATCCCAGCTACTCAGGAGGCTGAGGCAGGAGAATTGCCTGAACCCAGGAGGCGGAGGTTGCGGTGAGCCGAGATCGCGCTGTTGCACTCCAGCCTGGGTAACAAGAGCGAAACTCCGTCTCAAAAAAAAAAAAAAAAAAAAAAAAGAAACAGTCCTAGAAGTTTGTTGTTACATTTACTGTAAGAATATTTGTGAGGATTATTTTTTCAGTATAACTCATTATCTTATATATGATGATCCATACTTGCCATGATTGCCATGGAAAGCTTAATATTTTCTTGAGTTCCTAGGGTACTTTTTTCTTTATGGAAAAAGTAACTGTGACTTTTTGTTTTGATTTTTAGGAAGCTCACTGCCGAATGTGTATACAAGTATAGTACTGTGTAGAATTTTTTTTTTTTTCATACGGAGTCTCACTCTGTGATCTGAGCTCACTGCAACTGCTGCCACCCTGGTTCAAGCAATTCTCCTGCTTCAGCCCCCCGAGTAGCTGGGACTACAGGTGTGCACCATCACATCGCGTCTGGCTAATTTTTGTATTTTCAGTAGAAATAGGGTTTCAC